TCTAGAAACAAGCAATGCAAACTAGCATAGGCCTATACAGTAAATGCAGTGGTATATGGCACTGTGGTATGGAGCATTATGTTTTGTATGAGTGGCTTGTGTGTTGTTGAATGCATCATTTTATTGCCTCTTTCTTACATATTCCTGCCTTTTCTTATCAGTAAGGGTTCATTTTGATTCCTAAATACTGTATCAGTTTTATTCTCAATCTATGTATGAAAACATCTGTCCTGAAATAACCCTCCTGTGACATTTAGCTGTTGTTAAGTTGATGATTAAGTTTGGGATTTTAGAGAGTTCAGTGTAATATTTGGCACCATATGAAATGTATATCATTGTTACATAACATTTCTGAATTTCTGTTTTTCTTGCCCCGTAACTATATGTCATTTAACTGCAGTTTAAATTGCAGTCTTCTTTGAAAGGAGAGTCGTCACCTTAAAGGGCCTACCTTTTTAAATAAATGCCAAATCAAAATTCTTCACATTGATTACAGTCTTCAAAATCTGTTTACAATGCTGTAACCATGATAAACATATGCTTACTGTACGTAATGGAAACGTTAACCCTGTCAGGTCCTGTAATTGTCTTTTTACTTGTGCGTATTTGCTCTGTGGGAGTTGACAGGTGCGGCCAGTGTCGACACCTTCGGAAGTGAGTCATCAATGCTGAAGGTGCTAAAGTCAACTTTGGGATTGTCAAATCGTTTGAAAAGAAAGAATTATGTCTTGTTGATCATCTTAAATTGATTAAATTAATCTCTACTCACAGGGCAATTTTGCTCTTAATAATTACCAAAATGTGTCCAATCAGTGACTGTGGAATAAAATACTCATCAGTGATGTAGCTTTATATATGTGCAGGGAGGAACAGACTGGGTTTAATTTATATATTAAGGAAACACGAAGCTGGAGAGTGCAAGTAAAAGTTTGTAACAAATGTAATATAAAAGTACAATAAAGCATTTTACTCTTGTGGCAAGTTGAAGTGGACCTAGTTTCAACTAATTTATATACATTTAGTAGTTGTAGTACAGTGGTTCCTGACCTATAGGGGTCGGGCCTCTCCAAAGGATCACAAGACAAATCTGAAGAGTCATGAGATGATTATAGAGGTAGTACAGAAGAAGGCTACATAACCTTGTATTGCTTTTCAGACATTTATATATATATATATATATATATATATATATATATATATATATATATATATATATATTTATATATATATTATTATTATTATTATTATTTTTTTTTTTTTTTTTTTTTGCGTGTGTGTGTCTAACATCTCACAAGTACAGGTGTGGATGCCAATTTAGTGGAGTGGAATATTGTGTAGAGTAAAAGAATAAAGTAACAAAATGGAAACACTCAAGTAACATCCAACGAAGGTTAAAGTCAAGGGCAACTTGGTTGAAGATACTGGAAGACGTTTCATCCCTCATCCAAAGGACTTCTTCAGTTCTGACCAGTCAGTCAGAACTGAAGAAGTCCTTTGGATGAGGGATGAAACGTCTTCCAGTATCTTCAACCAAGTCCACTTGCCCTCGACTTTAACCTTCATTGGATAACTATGAGCTGGATGACTGAGAATCTTCATAGACACTCAAGTAACATGTAAGTAAGCTTACTCAAAAATGTAGCCTACTTCAGTGAAGTGATTAAGTAAATGTAGGCTACTTAGTAACTTCCCACCTCTGTTGGAGGGACACAGATGCTTTTTACTGGCTGGTGAATGTTCACCATCATGAATCAGTTATATACAACAGCTGTGTCTATAAGAGCAAAACGGTGTGTAAACTTGCTGTAGGCCTATATCTGCTTAGCAGCGACTTGCGCTCATCCAAGCAGCATCTAGCCTACACACGGTGTTATTGTACGGAAGAGTTAATAATTAAAGGTCTTAAAGAGAGGCGCACATAAAATAATGTTTCCCTGTCCTGGATGGCCACCGCTTTCTGGTCTAGACAGCATTTGAATCATTCTGTGTGATTCACTAATGAACCAGACCCTGCATGCAGTCATTTATTTTGTGTGCGGGTCAGCAAATCAGATTTCTGGTAAACCGGGACTGGGACTTTGCCATTAATTTAGTCTGTGCAGTATTTCGGTATAGGCTAATGGAAATAAAAAAAACAAGGAGATGGTCGAATTTCTAGACTCTGGTAGGCTAATACTTTTTTTAATAATAGGCTTTGTCTGTATTAGACAGTAGTAGGCTATACGTCCAATGATCCTCCAATAGGTTATAGACTAATACTTATGTAATGTCCCAGCCTACCTTGTAGACAGTTAGATACAACCTCCTTTCACAAAGCTGTAACATTTTGTTATAAATGGGTTATTACTTGGGGATTTCGGGAGAATCGTCAGTTCTGACACGTTATGGGCGGATATCTTCACGGATCAAGTCTTTCCCCGACTCAGAATTAGGCCAGTGGGATTTTTCGTCAGCGCCCAAAGGTGCAGGAAGCGACAAAACACACCTACCATGCAGTACAACTGCGATAGTCATCCACTGACACTGCCTGCCACAGAAGTGGGCGGCCAAAGGCAGACTTATCTCTTCCACCCTCAGCCTACTTTTCACTTTGCTGGCGCCTGATGTCAAGACACATGGAAATGGGACACCGACCAAAGCAGAGCTGGATCTGGGGGTTCTTTCACAGACACCGCAACAGGTAGGTGTAAGGATGAGACAAGAGGAGACAGGCCTGCAATTTTTTTGCTTTCTCGAGGTGATTTGCATATCGTCCGTCCTGTAACTCCTTGTGAGACCATACATAAATTTTCCATTTCTTTTTCTGTCCATTTGAAGTTTTGTCATTGTCAAGTCATTGTATTGCTTCCTTAATATGGCGACTGTGGGACCATAAAAACCTGAATATTATATTCTGATATAGTAGCAGTACATGTTTCTGAAGTTCTTTGACGCTGAAAGCATCTTTTGCCTACATAGGCCTATGCACAAACCCATTGGATCAACGTGGGTCTGTTTGGCTCGTTGTGTCAGCCATTCCCCCTTTTACAAGTCTAATGTGTCTTCAATATAATCAGCAATATGTTGATTTGTCATCCCAGCACTCCTTGATTAAGGTGAACCTGGGCCTGAATTTAAGAATAGACCGTACCATCCAAACTCTGTCTGAACATGGGTCCAGGAAGGAAGGCAAGATGTTGGCATAGCTGTTGAGTTGAAAGCCCTGCTATGCCATCAAATTGCCATCTTTCTCTCCCCTTTGCAGCTATAAAAAGTTCTCCATGGATATAACTGTGCCTGTTTACACAACTTACACGGAGAAATCTTCCAGAAAGTCTACTGTCTTGTGCTCTTTGCATTTTTTGTTTCATTTTTGCTTTAATTTTGGCCATTTTGAATCCTGTTCATGTAGTCCAATGATAAATGTAATTAACTACAGTGTTTTACTGCCTGCTGGGTAGTTCTTTGACACAGTGGGCTACAACCTACAGGATTACAGGAATACAGTTAGGCAAATTACTACAGTATTACAAAATTGCACTTTAAAGAACGTTATTAGCCCCATCTCCATTTGTATGTTTTCTCATGGCACTTCGTCTGGCACTAATTCAATTTACAGAATTGTCTGTTGAATTTTTATTTTAGAGTAGTAGTAGTAGTAAGTACTCTGTAGCAAATTCCATATCATTTGATTAGATAAGATGAACTTTATTTTCTCCAATGAGAAATTTTTTTGAAGTAAGAAGTAAGTAATAATATATAAACGCACCTTTCCGTAATAAATAAATACAGTAGTTAATAATAAGTAAAACTGAAATATTTTATAAACTACAATCATCTAAGGTCACCTGGAGTTACAAGTAACACACAAGTACATTTAAGGGCAATTTTGAAATACTGATACTATACTTGTACTCCAGTACATGTCAGAGAGAAATATTGTACTTTTTATTACAGTACTTATATTTGACTGGCGTTACTAGTTATTTTGTGGTCTAAAAATGTAATTTAAAATATACACAAAAGATCTATATAATATAAATGTATAAAATATGATGCATTATTATGCATTTATGTTCCCAGCAGTAGAGGAAATCATTCAAATTTGCTTCATCTTGATGAACTTTAATATTAAAATGTTGTATACACAACAATTGAATGTATTTGTAATAGTAATCCAGTTAAATAGTATACCTGTATAGGTATATAATAATGTAACACTTTGAAAGGGGTCATTCTGCATAATATTCATTTCATTTTAATTTCAATACTTTTTGTTACTTTCATGTTAGTTACATTTTGAATTGCGGAGTTTTACTTTTTTGTTGTTGTTGTTTTTTTTGTTGTTTTTGGTGTTGCTGCACACTTTGGAAGTGCATTTTTGATTGGTCCCAAAATTATGTTATTGTTCACATAATTTTGTAAATAATTCTAATAAATTTGACACAAGAGCTGAAATCAAAGGTGTCTTTTGTGAAATTATTTCCAAAGGCTTCAATATCAATAGTGTGTAGGCTATAGTTGTGGATAGGTGTGGATCCAGTTAAAGGCCATTTAAGTAGGCTATTTATTTATTCAACCATCAACTCCTTAATAAAACATAATGTGTTCAGTCCTTTTCCAAAATCACACCACTCATATTTATAACATATATTTATTTAAATATCATGTAGGCCTATGAGTTGGGTGCATTTATCCGTTTAATCATTCATTTCTTACTCTGACTTGTTTTTAAAATACCCATATATCATCTTAACAATTTTAAACTGTCAGAAATTCAATTCAATAAATTATGCATCCACCTCTTTAGGTCCTTTTCAGACATTTTGCTGTGGTCATTGATCAAACGGCGTTATCACCACATAGGCTAAATTTACTGAATGTCAAGGAATGGTACTTCTACTAAATAAAATATATACTTAGAATCATTTATCACCATTGATAAACCCCACATATTATAGTGTTTAATAGCAGCATCGAGGTGCATACAATTCTCGGCAGGCAGGCAAAACTCGGCGTAACACCTGTCACATGATCAGCTCTCCTGGGCCATGTGACTTCGTGACGGAGCGTGTCCTCTGCTTCCCCCTCGTCCTGCCTGGCTGCTTTCATGTCTGCTGATAGTTCAGAGGCGGTTTGAAACAGGGGTGGTCTCACATGAAAGCTGGCAGGTAAGCCAATATAATTACTGCTACAAGCCATCTCTGTTGAAGCTGTACGGTCTTGTTCCTCTCGTGAAAACATTAGCTTAGCAGAGCAGCTAGCAGCAGAGGTAAATAACTTCAACAGTAGCCTAAATGAAATTGCTACCACGCTTTCACCGCTGACATATGAAGGGCAACGTTATTTACAGCCTCTGTGGTTGATAACGAGTCGTTGAACTTGATATAACACGCCGTTTTCGTGGGGGGTATCTGTGGCTATCTGTTTATGTTCGAGTTCTCCTGATGTTGTTAAACCTTGGCCAGGTAAATTAGGATAACGTTAGCCAGAGACATGCAGACTGTAACATAACTTTGCGGGTGAGAGAGATGTAACGTTATACATGTGTTTATCCAGACTTCACTGAGATTGAAATCATTTACAGGTGAGTCCTGGCCAAGATAGCAGCACCACGTGGAGCAGGTTACAACAACCTGCGATGAATTAGATAAAATATGTAGTTGCAAATGGACATTTTGTATTTCCCCATGCTCAGTTTCTGTAACTCGCGAGATTATTTCTGACAGTTAAACTTGAGAGGTTCCCACAGTGTTCATGCTCATACACTAATACAGCCGTTTTGAATCGGTTGTGTCATAGTAGACATGCCTGATCAATAATGGGGATGGACAGTGAGAAAGAGGTCAAAGTACTCCCACAGTTTATTATTGGCCTTTCATAAAGTTGGGGCACTCCATAAGAGATTTAAAAAGGAAAAGATATTATGACTTTTTAGTCCCTACACTATTATTATAAAGGTCCCTTAAATCTATTAAAGAGCTTTTAACAAAGTATAGAGGTAATAGTAAGTAGGATAGTTTACAGTTGAACAGCTAGTTTCTCTTTCTCTCTTTGCTTTTTCTGTACTGCAATTTCTGGTTACAGCCAACGTACTGAATATGCCAATACTGAGATATATCTATTGTGAGCAACGCTTTTCGCCCATTGCTTCTTCGGGCCTATCTTTTCTATTGGTTAGATTAGATGGGAAAGAATTATCAAAGCCTTCCCTTAAACCTGTTGAAAACAGAACAACATTTGTGTCCAAATATTGTACCATCTCTTGATAAGTTCACCGGGTTGTAAATAAACATTGGAGTATCTTAGAATGTGACCCAAAGTTGAACCATTTATCAGATTCTAGACCTTGTTTTTGCTTCAGGGGAGGCAGAAATGTCAGCGATTTTGTCCATGTACAGAGAACCCAAACACTAATTGGCTTTCATTGCAGCTATATGGGAACTATAGATGTGGCAAATGTGCACATTGTTCCAACACATTTGATACAAAAAGTTTAATCATGAAATATAACATAAATTAATTCATTAATTGTCTGTCTACCCATGTTGTCTATGTTTTGAAATGTCCATGTGTCTTAACATATGTGGGCCAAAAAAAACAGAATCTTAACTTGAGAGTGACAGAGCATAAGGCTGCCATTAGAAATGGGAACATGGGTTATACCATTGCTAGACATTATAAAGAGAGAAAACATGGTTCGGCTACTTAGTTATTGCCATTGAAAGATTGAGTCCTAATCCAAGAGGGTGTAACCTGATTTACCAACTTTTAAGAGGGGAAGCTTTTCTTGGATTCATGAATTGAACACGATTGAGCCTCATGGACTTAATGAGAAACTAGATTTTAGCTCCTTCTTGTGATAATGATGATTATATATGTTTTTCTGAGGTGTGTTTTACCTTCAGGGAAAGTTGAGATACTTTGAGTCTACTTAGCACACCTGTGAGTGTTTTTGTAATTTCATTGTGTGAGCCTGAAGAAGCAATGGGCAAAACGTGTAGCTCACAATAAATGCAGTAAAGTCAGATCAGAGTGCGGTAGTGTATGTTCAATTTTATTTATATGGCGCCAAATCACAACAACAGTTATCTCACAGCGCTTTTCATAAAAGAGCAGGTCTAGACCGTATTATTACATTATTTACAGAAACCCAACAATTCCCACCAAGAGCAAGCACTAGGCGACAGAGGCAAGGAAAAACTCCCTTTGAAGAGGCAGAAACCTCGAGCAGAACCATGGCTCAGGGTGGGCGGCCATCTGCCTCGACCGGTTGGGGGTGAAGGAGAGAGGGGGGTAAAGGTGGTGTTTTTTCTAGACTGAATGAAAAATGGTAGAGATATTTACAGTAGTGTTAATGATAATAATAACAATAATAACAATAGGACTAGTAACAATAGTCGTTGCAGCAGAGGGTGTTGAGCAGGAACACAGGGGCAGCAGGTGACTCGCAACCACAGATCCAGACTCCACAGCTCCAGAGCCAGAAACACCTGCAGGAAGTGATAGGAGGAGAGAGGAGAGGGACGAGAAAGCACAAGACTACGGTGAGAAGTTGAGTTAGTAACATGCAATAATGGGATGAGGTTGCATACAGAGGGAGAGAAAGTAGAGGAGAGAGGAGCTCAGTGCATCATGGGAAATCCCACGGCAGTCTAGGCCTATAGCAGCATAACTAAGGGATGGTTCAGGACTCACCTGAGCCAGCCCTAACTATAAGCTTTATCAAAGAGGAAAGTCTTAAGCCTACTCTTAAATGTGGAGATGGTGTCTGCCTCCTGAACCCAAACTGGAACCTGGTTCCACAGGAGAGGAGCTTGATAGCTGAACGCTCTGGCTCCTAGTCTACTTTTGGAGACTCTAGGAACCACAAGTAACCCTGCATTCTGGGAGCGCAGTGCTCTGGTGGGGTAGTAAGGTACTATGAGCTCTTCAAGATAAGATGGTGCCTGACCATTAAGAGCTTTCTAGGTAAGAAGAATGATTTTAAATTCTATTCTGGATTTTACTGGAAGCCAATGCAAAGAAGTTAAAACAGGAGAAATATGATCTCTTTTCCTGGTTCCTGTCAGAACACGTGCTGCAGCATTCTGGATCAGCTGAAGAGTCTTAACGGACTTTTTCGAGCAGCCTGATAATGAGGAATTCAGTAATCCAGCCAAGAAGTAACAAATGCATGGACTAGTTTTTCTGCATCATTTTTAGACAGGATGTTCCTGATTTTCGCAATATTACGTAGGTGAAAAAAGGCGGTCCTTCAGATTTGCTTAATGTGAGACTTAAACAACATGTCCTGATCAAAGATAACTCCAAGATTCCTCACAGTGGTGCTGGAGGCCAGGGCGATGCCATCAATAATGAATAATAACTGATAATGAAGTTAGAGCTGATGGAATTGCATCCTTAAATTTAGCTACATTACTATGAGACAGACATCTTCAAAAAATTTTGCCCAATGGCATGTAGGTCAGCAATACAAACTCAAAAGTTATCAAACGATGGTCCGATAAAGAGGGATTCTGTTGGAACACTATTAAATGTTCAAACAGATAAACTATTTGTTATAATACTTTTCTTTTAGCCTGCCTATTCTCTGCAGACATAGATTGCACTAATGAACTTAAACTTAACTGAATCTTCCCATATGAGAAGTGTCAGCTAATGTTAACATGAAGCTGTTTGACAGAGATGAACAGTGAAAACTTCAGCCTGAGTGAGACGATAGTGTCGCCTTCCTACATTCGACAGGGGAGCCAGGCGCGTCGTAGCCATGAGCAGCTCATCAGGCACTTACTGGAGCAGGTAACGTCCACAGCTGCCTTCATGTTGTCCTCAAGGTCACTGCGGTCACTGCAGATTCGCTCACTTTTCCCCATTGTGTATGTTGCAGGGAAAGTGTCCAGACGAGGGATGGCATGAGAGCACCATAGAGCTCCTCCTGAATGAGCTGGCTGTGATGGACAGCAATAACTTCCTCGGCAACTGTGGTGTAGGAGAGAGGGAAGGCCGGGTGGCATCCAGCCTCGTGGCAAGACGGCATTACAGGTTAGAGTTTGGCATCAACTTTATAATGTTTGAATGGAGTCGCTCTGCATAATGTTGTGTCCAATTTTAAAAATGGAAATCTTCCTGATGGAATCAGCCTAATTGTAGTATCAGTCGGGTTATATACTTTATCGTAGGGCTTGACGATGTGGCCAAAAAGATTAGCACGATAAGACATTTCTTATCATTTGATAACGATAATTATCACAATAAATGTTAAATCATTGTTTCTTTCAAGTTTAAAGGCTGATTTCTGCTCTTGAGTGAAAGTTGTAGAAACCAGATGGTTAATTGTGAGTTTAAACTTTTCTTCATGGTCAGAACAAACACTTGATGCCAAACAGTGGATCACTTCACAAATCGGAGGTAGAACATTCAAAACTATTATGATAAAATGTTTTTCCTACAAATATGCTTGAGTAAAATTAAGAAATCCTTTTTCAGTCCCTTTTCCTCAATAAAATAAATATCTTAATAGAAAAATTCAGTGCTTATTAGTTTGTGATTCATATGAAGTATATTCAGAGGTACATAGAAATCTTTACTAGTGAACAGTGAAATCCGATTTGGACTTTTCACAAAGTTTAGAAAGTTGATAAACAGTTCCTGTGGTGACACTCAGCTGTTTTTATGTAGGTTGATCCATGGCATAGGTCGGTCAGGTGACATTGCTGCTGTTCAGCCCAAAGCTGCAGGATCCAGTCTGCTTAACAAGCTGACCAATTCAGTTGTGTTGGACATCTTAAAGCTCTCGGGTATGTATTTCTTATCATTCAAACTAAGGGTGTTGTATACTTTGCAAGAACAAACAATATTTGTCCCAAATAATGTTGTAATTTTTGTTACTTTTAAACCATTGAGCAGTTGCAGAAAGATGTGTTTCACCTAGAAATTAATGTTAAAGAGCCACTTAACTAATTTAATAGTACAGCTCCATAAAGCTGGGGGGATCACAAGAGAGATGAAAATAGATGCAGCAGAGGCCGAGATATCCTGACTTTAAGATGCTAGTATGGGTGGGGCTCCAAAGATGCAGGATCTTACAGTACATTTCCCATAATGCAGCTCAGTTGCATCTTTCATTAGACCATCCCTGTCTCCTAAATGCTCTGTTCTTTCAAACACCACACCTCCAATTTGTAACATAGAATTTGCGTTTTACGTTTTAATTCCTAAGTCCAAGCTGCCATAACTCTGATGACATCATCAAGGTCATTTGAAAAAAACTTTTGAAAAGCTCCTTCGGAGCCACAGAGGACCCAAAACAGATCCTATTAGACCAGGTGACGAGTAAACTGTACAGGATGTGTGCCCCTTTAATTCAGGTCTTTATTTGAACTAAAAGCATTCTTTGTTTCTTCTGGCTGACAGGTGCCCGGAGTGTGGCGAGCTGCTTTGTAGTTCCCATGGCAACAGGAATGAGCTTGACTCTGTGCTTCCTGACTCTTCGTCACCGGAGACCCACGGCTCGCTACATCATTTGGCCTCGCATCGACCAGAAGTCCTGTTTCAAAGCCATGATCACAGCAGGTGATAATGACCCCAGTGTGCGATGTGCTGTCACTCTTGCATCCCAGGACACCATTTACAAATGTTTGATACACCAAAATTCAGAAACAGTGGCACGTATGTCTTTGTTGTTCTTTGCACTTTATGTTCGCATTTTCACCCCTGTGCTGGCTAGACGTGAGCTTCTTCCTCATTGAAACCCGAGTGCTTCTGTGGTTTCTTGCTCATATCGGATTGTTTTATTAGGCTTTGAACCAGTGGTGGTGGAGAATGTTCTTGAGGGTGATGAGTTGCGGACAGACTTGGAAGCAGTTGAACGCAAGATCAAGGAGCTCGGGGACGAAAACATCCTGTGTATTCACTCAACAACGTCCTGCTTTGCCCCGCGGGTACCAGACAGGTAAAATGTTTTCAGTTTCCACCTTAGGGTTTTATAGATTCCTTGGTAGTTGATTTACAAGGAATCGGATCACATGAAGTCTGTCATCAGTTATTTAATCAAAGGTAGAATTTTTAACGTTTCTAAATGTACTTTTGTTATCTTTGCTCGTAGGCTTGAGGAGCTGTCTGCTGTGTGTGCCAAATATAACATTCCACACATAGTTAACAATGCATATGGAGTCCAGTCGTCCAAATGCATGCACCTTATACAGCAGGTTGGTAGCACTCTTCCCCAATCTGTGTCATTTGCATTTAAGAAGTAGTAGACTACTCGAGCTTGTCTTTAATTGTACAGTAATTACATGTCCTTTCTTTAATATGTCTTTCATCAGGGAGCTCGAGTTGGAAGAATAGACGCCTTTGTGCAGAGCTTGGACAAGAACTTTATGGTTCCAGTAGGTGGCGCAATAATCGCAGGTTTTGACGAGTCCTTCATACAAGAGATTAGCAAGATGTACCCAGGTGAGTACTAACACTAACACTGGCTAAGATTTGTAAAGTGAAATCATGATAAAATGGTATGTAAGTGTAAGTACAAAGTCCTATTTTACCTGATGTATTCATGTAAATATTTACTGGGCTTTACCTTATTGAGGACACACCTTCTTTATTTTTACAAAACTTTTATTGTTCTTTTGCAATTTTATTGCTAGAACTTTCTCTATATGTTGAGTTTGGGGATATGAACCCAGTAAAGACATATGAATGAAGTCAATTCATGAGAATTAGGTGATGAAAAAGCATGAATGATACTTAAAGGAAAAAAGGAAAACTGATACTGAGCGAGAGTAGGCCATCCTTAGGGATGCGTATTGATTTGAAATTTACCTGCGCCACTATGATACAGGAGTTTTGGTGTTGATATTAGAAGGATCTTTATTTTTAGGAATATGAAATGTTTTTAAAAAAATAAGCCAACTCTCTGAGATTCTTTAAAGTCTACTTGTATAAAAAGAAACTATGTGATAAAATAATGCATAAGCAAAACTAAGAATCTGACCAAGCATTCAATGCCAGTTTTTGATACTTGACAGTTTTTGATACTCATTGTTTCAAACACATTTCGGTCAGTACTGAGATCTGATCCCCAGCCCAAGCCCTCACCCATGGCTGCTCAGTTTCGGTTTTTCTTGTCAGGTCAGTTCTGAGCACGACTCATTTACAAACAGTGCAAGAAAACTGATACCTGGTCTGCCATAGACGCACATGAAATGCTTCACCTTTCCAGCCACTGATGCTCCTTTTATTTTTGTTAAAAAGTTAAGCTGAGGAGTGGATATCTAATTTCTACAGCTGCTTTAGCAAAGTCCCTTCTTGGCCTTCTTTGTCTAGGTCGAGCATCAGCCTCACCTTCCCTTGATGTCCTCATTACCCTCCTCACTCTGGGAGCCAGTGGCTACAAGAAACTCCTGTCAGAAAGAAAAGTGAGAGCCTGCACACATCACCTTTTTATATGGCTAAATATTTTAATATATTGGTATAAAACGCACTGCAGCAATGACGGTCTTGTATTGTAGTTGGCCTGAATATGTTTCTCTGCGTGCTGTGTCAACATCTTTCCCCTGAAGATGGGAAAAAAAACACAGCTTACATAAGTTATATTGAATAGCAGTGCTTCGCATACTATGACTGTGTGCGCATAGCTCTTTGCTTACCTGCAGGCTGACTGAGGAATGAGCTTTGTAGAGGGAGGAGTATGCTACAGCGAGATAAAATTGATCCTGAAGTTTCAGAAAACGTCCCCCCCCCCCCCGGTGGCTCCCTGCTTTAAAGCAGAGTTGCTCACAATGCAGCATCCCCCTCTTCAAATGGTAGGCACTGCAGCATTCTCTCACCTCTGAATTGCTCTACCTTAAATGTACTGGACTATATCTGGTTCGGTTGGCGTGCAGACCTCGGGAAGATTCGGAAATAAATGCCTCATTTACATCTATATCTAATTTTCTGGCATGCACTAGACCTAAACTGAAAAATTACCTTACTGGATGGCATGCAATACCCAAATTCCATTAGAATAAAACCGACTCCGTAGAAGAAGTATATCTCTAGGAAATTCCTCTGGCCTCTCGCATGACCCAACTCCATCAAGGCTTATTGATTTCTCTTGGTCCACATTATCCATAATTAATGTACAGGACCAGTTTTCCATATTGTCTGCAGAACTGAGTGATTTCCTCACCCCCCACCCTTCAAAAGCTTTAAATAATTCAGACATTTCATCTGTTGAGATGAATTTACAGCCTTGTGTTCTCACTTTAGAAAATGTCGAGATATGGAAAAGAAACCAGCAGATGATGTTTGTTTTTTTGTTAAGGATGGGACTTGGTCATCACACACACACTTATTGTCTGCAGAGTCGTTGCCATGCACGCACTCCTCCACTTGCCGCCCCTCCTCTCCAGCGATGATGAAGTCACCCATTGTTATTAGAGAACAAGGGACACTTGGAGACACTTGACATCATTGAAAGGCTATTTGTGTTTGACTCATGACAGAAAACATTTTCCTCCTTGATGCTTTTAAATTAGAAACGTATGAGTCAGCAGAGTACGGCGAAACACCACAAACACACACACAAACACACACACACACACACACACACACACACACACTGTTGCAGAGAGCAGATCCTTTTTAATCTGCGACGCTTCACTGGAGAATCTGGCCCCGGTAGCCAACGACAAAAACACTGCGATTTGTTTGTTGTACAGCTTCTGCAGCAACAGAACTCCATCTCCCTTATTCAGTCTTCCACACACTGCTTTGAGACTCTGAACTAAACACACTTTGGCAGCGTGTTTTAAACATGTGGATGTTAAAATCTCAGGATAAATGCATGCGTTCCCTCCTCTCCTGCCTCTCTAATTGATCCCAGAGGTGGATGTAAGACGTGACTAGAGATCCTGGCCAGAGTTGGAGAGGAAGTGGACACATTACTCTTGCTGATGCTTGAAGGGAAACGCTTACTGTCAGGCAGGCAGTGGAAAGAGAGGAGGGTGGCGAAGGAAGGGGTTTGGACATGGACCTGCCTGCTTGTGGGTAGATTTGCTTGATTAGCAATAAAAGCAAGGCTGCTGCTGCTAAAATAAGGCTGCGGCGGAGTGAGGAAAAAAGCATTGTGTTGCTATTTATAGTTCTTTTGCGTGGCCCCTGCTCCCTCCAGTTCTGTCTCTCCATGCATCTCTTCTCTGTATCTGCATGTCCTGCAGGAGATTTATTCGTTCCTGGCTCAGGAGCTGAAGAGTCTGGCCTCTGCACACGGAGAGAGATTGCTTCACACCCCACATAACCCCATTTCATTGGGTAAGCTCAATGTAACCAGCAGGTCTACACACTGTGTCTGTGTATTTTGGTTTATTTTGGCAGCGGTTTAGTTGTGAAAGCTACATTTCTGACCCTGTATTAATACATGTCTTTTAATCCTGAATATTTCATGTAATCATTGTGTGTTGGGTGTGGCACCTCTCCTCCAGCCATGTCCCTGGATGGTCTCCAGGCCGATAGCGACAAGGCGGTGACTCAGCTGGGCTCCATGTTGTTCACCCGGCAAGTGTCAGGAGCCAGGTATAAAAACTTCTGGCCTGAAAATGGAAACATGGGGAGGGGATCTACAACAAGAGGTTGTGGTGGGGTGTGTGTGTGTGTGTGTGTGTGTGTGTGTGTGTGCGCGTGCGTTGGGGAGAGAGTCGGCATCAAAGCAGGGTTTGTCTGTCCTTAAAAATAAGGTGATGCGCTGTGCGTTGCCAAACAGAATGGTCAGTGGAAATAAGCAATCAGCCAGATGGATCTGCTGAATATGGCGGGGCAGAAACTACTTTAGATGATTAGACCGGCCATCCTAATTTAACAGGATGCTTCCATTACGATCCGCAGAGCGATGTCGTCTCCACAGGGACAGCAGGCGCAAACTGTGACGCAGCTTTGACTGCCATGTTCTCACTCCCACTGGTAGTGTTGTTTCTTAGCAGTAGGGAGGAGGATTTGTCAATTCTTGCTTTGTTGCCTTCTGCCTCAGTCACTCTTGGCTGCGAAAACGCAGCATTTCAAGTTGTTTGCTGTTCCCATTTTTTCCCCCTGCAATAGTTTTTGACCAAGCATAGGAGCACATCTAAATATTTAAAATATTTGAATGAATGATTTATTTGGGTCATCCTGTCATGCTTGTTATTTGTTGTTCAGATTTTAACCCACTCGTGGCTCAATTGCATTTTTAAAAAAGGCATCAAAGAAATAGCCTTCCTTCCCCACTCTACTGATTTTCTGTCCAGTGAACATTTTCCCGTGGTCAGAGTGCAGAGCTGACTCAAAAATCTTTGTCCTTGTATCTCAGTAGCATACTTAAATACATGCATTGACTTCTAAGATTTATGCTTCAATGACACATATGAATCTTTGTCATTAATAGCACTATACGATACATGTTTAATAAATAAAGTATCCTCAGTTCTACCCATGAATACTGTGTGAGGGAGCTGGCTTCATTCACATTAACGATGAGCTATTCTCTTATCCAGCAAAACGCATTAATGGAGATCTACATCTTATTACAATGCATTTCTCTAACATAATGGTTTCACTCTCATACGCACAGTCCTAAAAGCTAGCCAGTAATTGATTTCACATTAAAGTGACTCTAAACTGTGCTGACAGTGGTGAAACACAGCCAAATTTCAGAGGCATGCATATTGTTTACGGTATTGCAGTGTTTTTTACAGCTCAAAAGCAGTTTGTCGCTTCAAATACCCACCTGTCTGAAACACTTTCAGGTTGCAGTGCGTTGGTAATACAGAGCTGCCTCGTGTCTTTCGTTTTTTTTTTTTTTTTTTATCAAAAAAAGGAATTTACCTTTCTGAATGAAGCTTTGAACTTTGCAGAGACGACCACTAGCAGCCCACTTACAAGGTAAAACTGTATTGGGTCTCAAATGACACAAATATGAGTCTGTCACATGTACCTGGCCAGATTGGATGCTATCAAGCTGGGCCAAGTATGACCTCCATTAAAAAAAAAATAAATAAATAAATATTAACAATAGATCATATGACTTGTATGTGACAGGGAGGGGTTGCTTGTAGTGACGAAGCCACAGAGTTTCACCCGACTGCAGTTACCCTCAGTTCTTTGTGCATGCTTTGTAGCATGTTTCTGTTTTATGGCCCACAACTTTTCTGTTTTTAGTTCACTCTCACCTCTCATAGTGTAGTTTTTGGAAGCTGTTTTCATCAAAAAAGCTCTCAAACCCCACTAAACACTCCCTGCCAAGCACTAGGGCTGAACAGTGAATCAGTATATTATACAAAATCAAAAACTTTTTTGTGCTGCTGCACTCATGTTGAGTACAAAAAAATGAAACCTTGCTAATTAGAGTTTGTTTTGCTAATGGTTAGTTTTACCATGTTATTGTAAATAATCCAAATAGTCAGATTACTGGTATCCTGTTTAAATAATAGTTGTTTTTCAAGTGAATAGCTTAAGCTTTAGGTCACAGTTGGAAAAAAATAATAAATTCTAGTTGTTTCACTGTATATTAAATAATCAATACTGCTCTGTTGTTTTAAACACATTTCTCTAGGGTAATACCGCTGGGCAAGGAGCAGACCATAGGCAGACACACGTTCCGTGGCTTTATGTCGCACTCCGAGGCGTACCCATGTCCTTACCTCAACGCTGCCTCGGCTGTGGGTATCACTCGTGAAGATGTGACACTGTGCGTCAAACGGCTTGACAAGTGCCTGAAGGCCCTGAAGAAAGAGGGAAATGCGGCGAAAAGTACTTCCCCAGTACTTCCACTGTGCAAGGAGGACAGTACTGAAGGATGACTGAGCAGAAATAAGAAAAGTAGACAAATGATTTCTACTTGGTTTGAGCCCTCTGCTGCCTGCACTCTCTTCATGCCTGATTTGTGTATGTTTTGAATGGCACTTGCTGATGGATTATCAATCCAGACATTGACTTGAAGTCTGCAGCAGCAGGTGGCGATGAGACTGTGTGCAGGCGTTCATTACAAACCACAATGACACAAGCTGACGTCACTGCTTAATTCCCTTCTCTCTGTGAAGGAGTGCTAATTAGTAGATACTGACACATGCTGATTGTTCACCACTGATCTAAAGTTGGGCCAAAGCGTCTGAAGAGACTGTTGCATTGTTGTCTGTATATGTTGAAATTGCTTGACTTTGTATTGGATTTTTGAACACCACAAATAGATTATGGATCTACCATTTACAATGGCCTTTCCTGTGTAACATTTTTCTTATCTAAAGCCATCCGCAGGGCATATTAGATTAAATATTCTATTAATTAGCCAGTCTTTCAGTTTGAAAGCATTGCGATAATTCTATTTTGGAAATACATTAGGATTTTCCACTAATTGATATATGAAACGATAAAGCATTATAATGTAATATGTTATGCCACATTCTTCTGCAGTATGTTGTAATGTGATACAAATGCCATTACCCATTAACTCCATTTGCACCCAGTGTGTTGGACTAGCTTATTGACTTTCAGCCTCTGGAACAGATTGCAAGGAAGATAATCAATGAAGTGCACCAAACAAAGATCGCTCACTGTGTTTAGTAAAGCATATGTTAACCTGTACTGTATGTAACATTAACAATTTAAAAGATAAGTGCAGTAGCTAACATTTCTACTATTTTTTTTTTTACTGTTACACTGCGTAGGATGAATTTGGATTTCAGTCATAATTTCACAAGGGTAATTGATCTTTAACCACACAAGTCTCCTCCATGTTTGCAAGGTTCTTGAGTCTTGTCTTATTCCCTCTGCTGATTAAAAAGCAGAGCAGGCAGTGCCCAGAGGCACAAAAAAAGACTCCTCCAAAAGTCTTTTTGACTGATGACTGATCTATATTTCGATCAAGGTTGATCGCTCTTTGAAAAGCTTGGGGCACATGAAGTAAATGCTGCTGCATGTTCCCGTGTTCAGACACCCGTACGAGGATCAGAACTGGAATCACCGGCTGTTCATAATTGCTGCATCTGTGCTGGGCCCAGCTGTCCTAGGGTATAGCAATGTACAGTCAGTACTGTCAGTTTTCTACTGCAATTACTAAGGCAGGTCTGATAGCATGCGTAGCAATAGCAGCAGCAGAACCCATCCACCCTGCGGCCTTTGAAAGGGGGCTGAAGTCGGATAAGAGTGCTGGATCAGCACTATTTTTTCAATGTTCCCAGGCTGTACTGAACCATTAACAAAATTTAGACGAATAACACTGCACTGTGACGGTGCTGGTACAGTGCAGCACTTTGAAAAGTAGAATTAAGAAATAATCAGCTGTAGATGATTTTGACTGCCTGATCCTGCGTGTGCAGCTCTGCTCTTGGTTAACATGAACTGAACTGTTGAGCAAAGGTTTGTCTTTCAGTTCTGTCTCCATTCCCTGTCAGCAGTTTGCTAGACTACCCCATTATTTTTGCTGACGTTGCAGAGATGCTAGGGGGATCAAGAGTCAGACCCACTTTTTTTTTAAAGGACCCCCTCTATTGATCAAGTCTGCTGCAGTGTGTAAATCAGAAAAGGGCTGCCAATGAGAAACCTGCACAAGGCATCAGTCTTTTTTATTTTCAGTGTGATTTGATTGTGTCAAGCACTGCAAACCATTCAGGTGTATAAAACAGGAAAGATTATGGAGAGAACCGGCCACATTATGTTGGATTAGGTTTTTCATCAGCAATTGAAGTGTTTTCCCAATCTTAAAAAGGCAAGACTCTTGGAGCCTCTTGTTTCCCTTAAACCCAAATGATTGTTTACCTTCATCCCTCCTCACCAAAATAGACTGCCCTTAAAAATATGCCTCCTGAATCTGCACAACACACTCAATCATGAGTCTTAAGTACCCCAGGGATGCTGCTGGATGACAAATGGCCCGTCGCTCCTGGCCCTCAGCAGCTGCCAGGTAGAGTTCGGTGATGATGGAGTGCCAGAGTGGCACAAACAGGGCCATAGATTAACAGGGTGTTACCAAAAGGGCCCCGAGTTGACAAGCTACCAACATGGTCATGGATTACCAGACAGGTACCATAGGGATATTTGCTCCAGCTGGTATATAGAGACCAACCAGCCTCTTCAGCTTCTGTGTTCTAGTATTGGGCTTGTATTTATCTTTACAGCAAAGTAGGAGGATGTCTAGAGCCTGTCATTTTTATTTTATTTATGGTATCAGCAAAACATGCTATTATAATTTTCATTTTATTTGTGTGAAATCCGTTATATCTCCAGTAGCAATTAACATGTCAAATGTATAATACAAAAAGCCAAGAAACATGAGACAGTTGTCTGAAACGAAAATAAAAACCAAACTGGAGAGTGGTGACAAGTGCAGACAATGAAGATGCATGGAAACATAATCAGTGGCAGCTTCTTTCTTGTTGATTCTGTTCTTGATCAATGTCAATGAATAAAAAACATAAAAACATTAAGTAAAAACGAAGTGTATGCAAGTTTGGTGATTTTTTTTTTATTTATGATCTTGTCAAAACCTACAAACAAAGGCATAGATGCATATCAAATTCAATGTGGGCCCATGTTACAGCTTTATCTGGCAGCACAGATGTGGCCCAAGGTGCACAGTTAAGAAACGGTATTGAGGTTTGGCAAGTAGAGGACAGATGTGAACTGTGTGATTTGGGAAAGGAAGTGATTCACATTTTCTTTTGTATGATAATGTAATGATTTAAGTTATTTTTTCATCATGAAATGTGCAAAGCCCTGAAATCATCTGGTGTACAGATGATCAAAAATACGTACGTTTGCTAACTTTGTCTCCCAAGCCTAGAAAAGAAGGCAAGATGGATTATTTAAGACAATGAAGTGTGACTGTTCATTATGACAATTACCTGAATTGGCTTCTCTTTTTTTTGGTGGTGTTTTAGTGCATATGTTGTATTCTGGATCTGGTTTATATGAATTTGTGGTGTCTTGAAATCCCAGGTGGGCTTCATTTATTTATGCATTAATTGAACCTAAATGCAAATACTGTTGCAGGTTAAAACTACCTTATTAAAGACATCCTTCAGATAAGTTATCATTAGAGTTGTTTAACAGAGCACCAGAACCCCCCACCTTATATTGATAAGTGTCTCTATGGAAATACTGCATAGGTAGTGTATACTTTGACTGCATATGCAACCACTGGGATCTCTGTATTTAGTTAGATAGTTCTACAGCTGAGCAGCTCTGCTTGGACCGCCAGAGAGGCGCTGTCCGTGGTGCTGCAGCTATGCGCCTCTGAAAGCGCTTTATGGAGGAGGGGTATGGTATAGCTTACTATATGTTAAACTGTCCTGTTTAACATTATATCACTTCAGTCAGTTTGCCTTCATAAAGACATTTAAATATGATGCCTTTCATTCTAACATATACATATTGTAAATCACTGCCAGAAATAACGGAGATATGTGTCTAATCATGTCACAATTTGCCACCAAATGTGCACATGTATATAACTGACGTCATCCGAAATGTATTTTGGAAATATATAAACGCATGGTTAACAGCACGCATTATATCTGCTAATATAATGAAACTACATTTTGATAAATGCAATATATATTCAGAAATAGGCGTTTGCTTCTTTGAAGGCAACATTAAGTGTATGTGAAACGTTACCAGATCATCTGTGGCAGCCACAGATGCAGCCCTCTATGTATGGTGCGTATGGTGGTTTTAACCAACAGCTATCCGACTGGAGCTCTGGCATAATAAATAATTAAAGTGGACGGAGGGGAGCTGCAGCTGATTTGCTGATGTCAGGGAGCCAGTGCAGCATTTCATGGTGCAGGGTGTAAACGCGCGCTACCATCTGCCTCGATCGGTGCTCCAAGCAAACCTCACACATGCAAGCCCGGCAAGAAAGATGCTGCCAACTCTCAAGATATGGGCATTGTTTTCTCTGTCGCTCTGTTTTCTGTCTCAACCGGGTCATTTGAAGAAGGTTTTCCGATGTCCTTCAGCATGCAGCTGCTCCAGGGAGTCTATCATTTGCGTCGGGTCCTCCTATGTCCCAAGGATTACCCCCAACGACATCAGTTCTCTGTGAGTAGCCTCTATATATTATCTTTTACGAAACCCATGTGTAATACAGGAATATGAAGTTTCATTTCAGTTGTCCCTTGCTGTATTTTATAATGTACACCATCTGAGCTGATGTTGCAAAGCAACGCCGTCCTGATCCCTCTCCACCTTCTCTGATTGGTCACTTTTCAGCTTTGTACTTGCTTGGTGGCTTTCTGTTTATCGTTTCTGCTTCTTCCTTCCAGGAGCATCATCAATGGGACTTTCTCCGAGGTCAAAGAGGCAATGTTTGCTCACATGCCATCTCTCCAGTTACTGTAAGAGTACTTCAACTGCGTGTCCTTCCTCTGATGCGATTTTAAGATTTGCCCTTTTCTTGTAGCAAAGGCTCTTTCTAGGATTGATTTCAAACTGGTGACTTTAAAACTTAAGTATAGCCTGTCTTTAATGTTAGTGTTTAACCTCACTAATGCACCAGACTGCACACCCTAATAGTTAATAGTGAGCTGACAGTCTATTGACTGACTTGCAGCAATTATGAACACACACACACAGTGTAGGTTATAAAAAAATAGCCATGGCATTAATAGAATCAATTAATTAAGGATTTTTATGCTATTGAGGCCCACCTATGCCAAGCAACTAACTTTGTTGTGCATTACTTTAACACACATAGGCTACAGTGAAGCAGATTTTCGGTCTGTTTTGCACATGTTAAAGCAATGAGCAAGGTTTTAAAAGGGTTGGACCGTTGGACATTTACAATGGAAATTTGGTCAGTGCTGTCCCATACCAGTGTACTTCACAGAGGCCATCAACCTACTTGTCCTAACACACACGATGATATTGTGAGTGTTCAACTGCGGTCACAGCTTAGTGTAGTTGGTTTTTTTTTTAACATTCTTCTTGGAATTGTCTATTTGTAGAAGTTAATTTGCTTTTTTATATGTTGCATCTTGATTTAGGGGTTATACCTTATTTTGTCTGGTAAGATTTGTTTTTCTTGACATTGTCCACTACCACAGTCTGCTGAAATGGCAATAGAGGTCATAAAATATGATAATATAATTACTTGTCCCAATCTTGATTTCCCATGTGTTGGTATTGAATTGGACTGAGACCATTTGGCTCGATTTTGGTGACTTTCTTGAGTTAAATGCTAAATCACAATCTGAGAATTTTCTTTTTTTATTGTTTTTCAGACAGAGGCATAAAACAGTACATCATGTTGGTGTGAATGAGTATTTTATTATTTATTACAGACTTTTGAATTCCAATTCTCTTACAACTGTGAGGGATGACGCATTCTCAGGACTTCCACATCTGGAGTATCTGTAAGTAAATGTTTTTTTTGGCTGCACAGCATGTGTACAACATTTATATAAACAGCTTGTAACTGCATACAACAGCACATCTTGTCTAACATAGTTAAATAGTCTTCTAGGAATGTTGTTATTGGCATGAGGTTATGTGGTTAAAATGGTCTTACAAAGTAAATGAGGGAGGAAAGTATCTACTTTACACCCTCTAGTGGTTATATTTTTACCAGATCAGATTCTTTACTCATTTCTACACAACCAATTTCAAAAATAAGTATTACATATCTGTATCAGTATTGATGTTGGCATTGCAGGCATTTTGGAAAATACTTGTAGTTTTTATTTTACACACTTCTTTATGAAAAAGATGTCATCTAATAATCACTAGAATATATGCACATATACTGACCAAAACCTTGTTAATTACAAAATCAACAAAACATTTGAATCTCATCGTAACCCCAAATAGAACCAGTTAAACTGCAATAGAACAGTTTCTGTTTCTTTTCTGTTTTTGCAATTTTGTATTAAAAAATAATTGTATAAAGTCAATTAGTTTTGTTATAAACTGCATGAAATTCACCAGAGGGGGACTTTCCCTCCCAATTGACAGAAACAGGCAATGTATGCACTGGCACTGGCTATATGCAACATTATTCATGAAAAAAAACTTTACTGATTAAAAAGTACAATGTTTTTTTATACACAATTACTTTTAGTCAGTATGGAAGTTAGGGAAGTGTCACTAAATCACTAAATCCAAAATGCTTTTTTGTTATCTTCCACAGGTTCATTGAGAGTAATAAAATAGAGACTGCATCCAAATATGCCTTCAGAGGACTCAGGGACTTGACTCACTTGTATGTTCCAACATTTAAAGTTTCTCAAAGACTAATATTTATTTTCTTAAAGTAATTTTTAATATTCAGAAATTGTGTACCACTGTAAGTGACTGCATTTTCTTGTAATGGAATTACGATATTATTATTATAATTAGGTGCCATTCTGTGTCTGTATTGATTTATTGCCATTGTTTCTAGGTCTTTGGCAAACAACAACATTAAAGCCTTGCCCAGGGACGTCTTCATTGACTTGGACTCACTGATAGAGCTGTAAGTTTGTTGCACAAGTGATAGAAGAATAGTGCAAAGGACTCTGTTTTGTTCCTCATGACCTGTGTCAAGAACTTATGTTGGCACATTATGTTAAGAAATGTCTTCTTCATCTTCCAAGGTACATTCTAGCTAGTCTACTTTGTTTCTCTGCAATGACATACAGTACTCCTCTCCTGCAGGGACCTGCGAGGCAATGCCTTTGAGTGTGACTGCCGTGCCAAGTGGCTGATGACGTGGCTCAAGAACACCAATGCCACAGTGTCGGATGTCATGTGTGCCGGGCCGGAGGACATGAAGGACAAGCGCCTCAATGATATGACCAGCCTGCACAACGAATGCGTCTCAACGGGTGAGAAACACCTGAGCCAGCTGGCCTTGTCTCAATTCAAACTGTCATCAGTGTTAGGTAGCTCAGCCAGGTTATCCGAAGAAATGTAAAGACAATGCAAAAGTGTAGTGTTCTTGGTTCATCCTTTTTATGTGGCTTTGCTTTTAGAATTGTGTTTGTAGAAAATGTCAATTCAGAATCTGCCTTTTCACAGATTTCGTCCTACATCAGTCCGTGGCATCCGAGTCTTTGTCTGTTGACACATTCAGCTATAAGAATGATGTGTATGTGACTATTGCTGCTCCCAGCTCAGACAGCTGTATGGTTTTCCAATGGGACCACATAGAAATGAACTTCAGGACTTATGATAACATCACAGGTACGGCAATGTCTTAACAAACTGTCTCCGCATACCCTGTTTGAGTTTTACCCCCTTGTTATCGGCATGTTTATTTCCTTTTCCCTGCCTCCCAGGTCAGTCCATTGTGGGGTGCAAGTCAGTTGTCATCCAGGACCAGGTGTTTGTCATCGTGGCTCAGCTCTTTGGTGGTTCCCACATCTACAAGTTTGATGAAGACCAAAGCAGGTTCAGCAAGTTCCAGGACATTGAGGTGTCCAAGATCTCCAAGCCCAATGACATTGAGGCTTTCAAGATTGGCTCAGATTGGTTCTTTGTGATAGCCGACAGCTCGAAAGCGGGCCTGTCAACCCTCTACAAGTGGAACGATAAGGGCTTTTATTCATACCAGTCACTGCATGAGTGGTACCGCGACACAGATGCAGAGTTCTTGGACTTGGATGGGAAGGCCCACCTTATCTTGGCAAGCCGCTCACAGGTCCCCGTCATCTACCAGTGGAACCGGAGCAACCAGAAGTTTGTCCTGCAGGGCGAGATCCCCAACATGGAGGATGTTGTCGCTGTAAAGCACTTCCGGATCAAGGAGGAACTCTACCTGGCAATGACACGCTATATTGGTGACTCCAAAGTTCTACATTGGGGTGCCAAAGTGTTTGCAGAGATCCAGGCCGTGCCCTCACGAGGCTCCATGATTCTCCAGCCTTTCTCCTTCAAAGAACGTTACTACCTGGCCCTGGGAAGTGACTACACCTTCTCGCAGATCTACCTTTGGGATGATGAAAAGAAACTCTTTGACCGCTTCAAGGAGGTGTACATTCAGGCACCGCGCTCCTTCACTGTGGTTTCCACTGACCGCAGGGACTTTGTTTTCACCTCTAGCTTCAAGGGAAACACACAGATCTTTGAGCACATCATCATTGACTTGAGCTTGTGAGGGGTGGTGCCTTATTGCCCCTCCTGCAATCGAATGTCTTCCACTAGAAAGATATATTTGTGAAGGGAAAAAGAAAGGACCAGAATAGACTTAATGAACTGTCAAAATATCAATTCCTACATTGTTCTCTGTCACAGATAAGAGCTGGGTCAAGTAGTGTTTGGAATCCTTGTAATTAAAAAGGTGTTTTGACTATTTCTCAATGACCCTGTCCTATTATCTGTTCTCATGGCCTCTCAGACTTTGAGGTATACTACCATTTCACAAGAGTGAGAGGGAGAGTCAAGTGGGTGGACAGTTATACAAGGTAGCAGGTAATTCTCCTAAATATCCAGCTGACATTCCTGAGGGCAGAAAGATTTAAAGTATAATTTGATCTATTTGGAAGTACACATTTCAGTTTAATGTCCCCTGCGCTAATGGTTTTATACCCCCCAAAATATACACCAGGACCTGAGAGAAAGATCATATTACTACAGAGGGTGTAACAGGTGTGGTTGCCACTTACCTCATGTCCTCTTATCCTGTGGTAATGTACAGTATGATGCCTTATCAGCACTGGGGTTCTTGTTCTGATGGGCCCGCAGTGCCTCCCTCTGGCCGTGATAAAGTATCACACCCCTTTGCTTTTTCCATACAGGGAATGTCTTGAAAGCACAAACCTTTAATCGTCTTAGCTGAGACCCTAGCTCTTGGAGTGTAGTTGTTAAGTGAAAAGTGTTGCTGTAGGTGCTATAGACTATACTGCGTACAGTAATGAAGAAGTGGTTTGTTGTTTTAGGGAGTGAAGTTTTCATGTCTGGATGATATAGCTAATGCCTTTGTAGACAAACACACATGAATGAGAAATCCCCATTTACCAGTAGATAATATTTTACTTCAGAGGACATGTTAATGACAAAGCAGATAGAAGCGCTTTTTATCAATGTAGTGGAAAATACCTGTTTTTAGGTGATGTCAGGGAAGTTAAACTTACTTTAAGTTTGAAAAAATAACCACAGTCGTTGGACTACTGGCGTAATTGAACTTTTTTTAGACTATAACTAAAAACAGGCTCCACACAGCAGAAGTCTATGGACTCAAATACATACATTTGACAGAATTTGATTGTCCAAAAATGAAGGAAACAAAATGTTTATGTAAATACATCAACTCAAGTTGAGAGGCTTTTTCAGTGTGTCTTTCTGTTCTTTGAAAATACTTAATGTTGACTTACAAGCTACAAAATGTACATAAAACATGGACTGCAATGCCACTAACTGTTTGTCACACAAGACTCTGAACTGATCTTTGCACTTATTAAAAAAAAAAAAAATGTTACTGCAGCTTGTGAGAGCATGACATTCAAAAAAGGGTGTTTGCCAAATTCTTTTTAGAAAAACCTAACAAACTCAGACGTCTAAAAGTAAATCTACTCATTAAGTGAATGGTATTGCAAATAAAAAGAACACAATGAAATATGCAAGCTTTACAACATGCTGATTCTTTTCTATGATTTTGTTTAAAGCATATTGAATGTTACTCCCAAATATACTGTAAATCTTATCAGTTGAGTATCAAAATAAATGTGTAAAAGTATGATTGTAAGATGTCTTTTATCTTTCATTGATCGTTAGGATTATGGCACTGGCAACATCAGCCACAGTTCACATTTACTCTCTCTAAGAATCACTAATTACTTTGTTATGGTCAAAACTGTTTTGTGTTTACAAAGGACATCGGGAACTTAAAGCTTGAGTAATCAATACATTAATATGTAGGTTGATGTATCAACAGGCGTCACTCGTAATGACTAACACACACTAAACTATCATATGACTCTGCAGTCCCTCTCAGTTCAGGAGCATTTTAGCATCTTTTACTTCTTTATTTTGGTTCTGTCCCATCGCTCTCACCAACTTTGTTTCCAGCTGCAGCAGGTGGATGTTTTCAGCGACAAATCTTTAAAAACAAACTATGCACAGTCTCAGCATCAAACTACAAACTTTTTCAACACACACAATATAATGTAAGCATGCTGTTGGTCCAGCTCACAGTTTAACACAGCGGCTTATATGTCTGACTGGTGTTTATTTCTAGCATCAATAAGGAGAATATTAACTATGAATGTCTATGAAGATTCTCAGTCATCCAGGTCATAGTTATCCAACGAAGGTTAAAATCAAGGGCAACTGGACTTGGTTGAAGATACTGGAAGACGTTTCGTCCCTCATCCAAAGGACTTCTTCAGTTCTGACTGAAACTCAGCTTTTTAACCTCAGTGGGGTCGTTGGCCCGGGTCATCGATACCGCTGGTTCGTTAGTGTTCCTGGTTGCTGTGACGACAGTCGTTACAGTCGTTAAGACTACCAGTGGCCAAGACTGAACCACCATCGTTGGTATCTTCACCTGAGGCCAATAGGTTACGTTTGTTGAGTTTCCTGGGAAGTGATGAAAGGACAGCATTGTAAGAGGGGGATAAGTGGTGGCGTAGACCCCCTCCCCTGTTCAATGACGGCTTCTCGACCCGGGTGTAGATGGCTTCCTTGACACACTGCAGAGTCTTGACCTGAGGAATTGGCCCTTCTGTGTTGAGCCATGCGTTTGTGTAGTGGTTGTTTAGTTTCCCCAATGTACAGGTCTGTGCATTCCTCACTGCATTGGACAGCATACACTAGATTGCTTTTCTTGTGTTTGGGTGTGCGGTCTTTGTGGTGTACCCACATCTGTCTTAGAGTGGGTTTTTAGCCTAGAAAACTAGGCAAAAAATATATACTGCCTGAAACTAAATCTGTGAGCTCACAATAATAACTAGTCAACATTGTTACCCAGTCATATGTACTATAGTCACTGGACCATCAGAGAACATTGTTCAGTTCAAAACATAGGACGTGATGGTATTGATGCCTTATATTTTTGGTGTTTTGGCCTTTATTCACAATACACCCTCTGGCGAGGCAGGCCCATAACAAGCTGATCAGACCTGGGTGTCTGTCCTATCATCTATCCTTGATTGTGTATCTTCCTTAAGAAAGGCTCACTTTACAACCAGTGAGGATGTGCGTGAGGGTGGCTGGAGTTGAACAAGGGGCAGGATGGATCATCACCCAGCCACTGGTTGGGGTTTCTGGGTGAAGGAAAGACATTTCCTACAAGTCCTTCCAAATAATTCTCCTTTTTACCATGCCTTGCCCAGTTCATCCACTGCCTTTAGTTGGCTTGTGATACCGCCTTAGCACATCTTGTGACCTGCATCTGACACTTCCTGGACCACCAACTTTTGTCGTTCTGATGGAGTTGCTTTGTTGCACAGGGGCCTGTCGTGAAGAAGGCCCAGTCCTCCTCTTCCTTGCTAAACATGGCTTACAATTTCAGCATGCTTAAGTGCTGACTATGCCTGTTGTACAGCTTCTTTTGGTGCCCACAGTGGAGTGGCCACTTCCACCACCTCTCATAGCTCAGCTTACATTTCGCATTCAGTCACTTTGCAGGTGTTAAAAAACTCAGATCTGTTTAAATAAAAAATGTAAAAATCAGTTGTAGCTTGCTGTAGGCTATAACTTAATCATTTGTTTTGGGAAAGTGTATTGTTAGGATAATGTTAATCTTACCATCATTCGATCAATCAGGGAGGAGCAGACTTATTTCTTGAATTCCACCACTCGTGTACAGTCCTCTTCTCTCATGAGATGTCCATTGATGAGACTAAATGTGATGGGGGTAAGTGTTGCTGATGGATACACTCAACTCATCACTATTGTGAAGACACACTTCAGTGTGGCTAAAACTGGCGCTGAGTCCTCCATGAGCCTCCAGTATTCCTCTTTCAGCTCAAGGGTCTTTGCACTGTCTAGCCTGGTGACAGTCCGGTCAGATAGGATGGAAACCACAGCTCTGCTCCACTAGGTGGCCGAACAGAATTCCATCGAGTCTTTGTGGACTGGATGAGCCGGTGGAGTGGCACTCCCATTTGCTGTTGCTTTTCCTCTAGGGCTTTGGCGGTGACAGTGCTATGGTTAAAGTGGCTCACAAGCCTACCAGGTTTGAGGTAGACAGCGAATCCGTCAATGATTGCAAGCTGAAGTGTATGTGCAAAGAGGCTTGTTGCTAACTAGACGTTTGCCTGCCTGGCAAACGTCTAGTTAGCAACACCACAGCAGTGACTCACCAGTCCTCGGTGGTGTAGTGGCAAGTCACGGTCACGTAGCTCTCAGTCGTTTGGGCAGTCCAGCTATCTGTTGTCAATGCGACTTTGCTAGCTAGCTGTTCTCGATGCGTGATGTGATGGTGCCTCGTGATGGGATATGAGATTCTGGTTCAAGCAGATGCATAATTTCCCGAAATCCTGGGCCGTCAACCATACTGATTTTTTATAACTTTACAGATTGATTGGATTATTTTTTCTGCCTGCTTTGCGTTGCAGTTCTTCCGTGCAAACACTATGGTGATCGTGGGTTGATGCTGCTGATACGAGAATCCTGCCAACGAACTTGAATGAACATTGTTCAAGTGGTAGACTATTGGTGTTGTCGTTGTGTTGTATTCGAAGACAGAATCACAGTGTTTGAAGATGCCATTTTCTTCTTTCAACTCAAAATGATCCCATACAATACTGGTACCTGCTAGCTAGAATTAGCTAGTGGACAGCCCCCTGAAGCCCCCAACCCTTACCCCAACCATCAGAAATGTTAGTACCTAAACCAAAGTCACTTTAAGCATGTCGACCAGCTAACCCTACAGCTACGTATCAGGTAGGGTTAGCCTCCTTTGTGTTGCTGGGACGTAGCAAATGGTGGCGTTTTATATGGAAGCCGAAGGGTACCTTTAACATAAAATATTTACACTTTGTCACGCTGTCTGAAAGCGTCAGTTATGACGCATTGAGATGAAAACACGTTGTGCATATATATACATTGCAAGCGTAATTTTGTAATATGGTTACTATGGTCACTACTACTACTAAATCTCTGTGTCTTCTATATATGCTCTGATAATGCCAATCCAACACATCATTGTAGTAGTGTTAATGTTGATTCCACATTCTAACTTAAGAGCACATGAACTCACACTGAAGTCGGAAGGAGGACTTAACAACTTAGGAAATGGGACCATCCGAGGAGCACATGAATGCCATGTGAGCCATGGTTGCAATTCGCAACCCTCACCACTAGATGCCACTAAAATATGTAGACATACCCTTATTCATAATCAATTCTCATGGTTATTTGATGACATAATAATGAACATTTACTTACAAACACAATATATCATCCATGTACCTACTATGACATTTACACATTTCACATCTGTGCACGATCAAAGTTCACTTCTGGTTTCTGGCCTTAACGAGGAAGTTCAACGTCTAAAAAGCCAGTGAGGGTCAAGGTGTGGCACTCTTTCTGCATGAACAAGTCTTATCTAAAAACATTAAATCATTAGAATGAGCAGTTATGTTTATGGTGTCAATCTCATGGTGGCACTAACAGTCAGAGAATCAAGTATAATGATGCAGCATAGATATATATAGATAAGTCATGGCATGTCATAAAAATGGTGGCATTAGAGGTCAAAACATTTGATTACCAGTTTCAGTTTCACTACGGCTTTATAAAGTAAGGACAGAGTTGCTAATGCTAGCCTATAATCGTATCATCCATGACCAACTCCTACACAGTATAGGTGCCAGTGCTGAATGTGGATTTTAAGTGGTACTTAACGTGTTGGGCAGTAATACTGTAATATTACCTTTCCCGGAGCAATGTAACGGATTACTATTTCCAAAACAGTAATGTTATTACAGTTACTAATCATATTAAGGCTGCCCTACTGAACGCACCATCCTTGACGTGAATGCGCTGCAGCTCAGCGGCACCGGACCATATCAGCTATTAGCCAAAAAGGAAGACGGGAGAACAGGGACAGCTGTAAGTAACGTTGTTGCCAATATTGTGTCACAGTCTAAGATGCAAAAAACATGTCGTTTGTTGTGAACTTTGTGCGACCAGCAAAAAGCTTTTAACCGCGAACAATTCTACATTGACTTAGGCTAATTGAAGCATCAGCTAAAGCAACACAGCAACGTGAAACTCAGAAAGAAACTCCGGCCACTACTGCCAGTGATGCTTGGACTCATCGGGAGAGTGTGGCGATATCACCCAGTACCCAGTAATAAGTAGGCTAGAATAGCTAATATTACTTTTTTAAGGAGTAGCCTATATGCTAAGTAACTAGGTAATAGCTATATTATTTCTGAGTAACTTGCCCAACACTGAGTTGACAATAAACATCGGATAAATTGGGTATGATTTGATTATTGCTTGTTATATGTCTAATGTTTACTTTGACTTTGTTGTCGATTGATCAATCATATAGCCTATAAACACTTTGCTGTATGAATGGTGGCTTTTTAAGTCTTTATGTTCCGTTAAAGGTTTTGGTAAGTTGATCCGCAGGGTCGCTCTGCGCTCCTCATCAACAGACAGGCAAACAAGCGCTCCGCGATGTAACCATGGCAACGGGTTTTGTGTAACTGGCTCGATCCCGTGAAACTATCGTGGTCGTTCCCATCTCATGCACACGCCCGCCCACTGCCGGAGTTGAAATGTAAAAACTTTTTCCTACAGTTTATCAACAGAGACTGATCAGCTGTTTGATCTGAGTTTCCTGAATAAAATAATGTTTCTTTAACAGTCAGGCCACCAGGTCTTCGTAATTCAGAAACAACCTTTGCTGCTGCCTCTTATTCATTAAAAATAATCTATTAACTTCTACTAAACTAATTTGAAAGTTAGTAGTTATATTATTTATAGACTCAGTTATTTCATGCTGCATGTTGCACATTTAGCTGTAAAAGCATTTCAGCTGTAAAAAATGAATACAAAATAATTCTTATTCTAGAGAGGTGGCGAAGTCGCAGTGGATTAGACAAGTTATTGTCATGGGTCCTGCTTTACCATATATGCTATAATAGAGCCGCTGACAGTTTTATTGGGGTGTGAGGGGGGGTATATTTTCCTGCTTTTTTGCCCTTTGTTAATTACATGCCTGAAGACTGATGTCAAGAACAAAGCATACCCTGACAACACAGCAGCTCCAGACAGCAATACTCACAACTATCCTGCTACCATAATTACCATACCATAAATAAGTAAGACTCTGATTAGATACAGATGTCTGTCATAAAGAATGCACATTAGTTACATTAGTGTTTAAACACCACATCTGTTTTGTTAAGAAGTTAAAGGAGACCTATTATACTGCATTAAGTTGAACAACCCATCTAATGACCCATCATCTAGTGACTGATTGATGCATCAATATTATCTGAAAGTAAGAGTGCAATTTTTCTTGTATTTTTCCAAAATATTTCAACATTGTGTGGGAAATGAGTTGGACTAGATATGATGATGATGATGATCATTACTATATCTATTGTCATAGCCTCTCAGGAGTATTGCCTTTTCAGAAAGATTGTAAGAGGAAGAAGAAGTTGGGAATTCATTGTTTTTGAAGGACTACAATGCCACTCCCTGTTAGGGGAGTGATTTTATGAATTTAAAATGTGGCCCAACATCACTCAAAGACCAAGTATTCCCTGACAAGATTAATTACTTTTTTAGCTTTACTAACTTCATTACTTTAACAAAATACATTGGAATCTTGAGGCTCTGTCTTTCCAACTTTTAGGGATTTGAATGTTACATTAAAATTCATCAGGCTTCTTAACTTTCCCATTTTTGCAGACCAAAACATCTCGACAATACTCGTAACATTGTAGAGCCAGAGCAGGGTATTACCTAATCTCTTAAAGGAGCTCACAGTAATAATTTGCCACACCCTTTGATAGAATGATAGAAAACCTGTTGGCCTGTGTTTCAACTCAGGCCTGCACTGCAGCTTCTTCATTTCTGGGAAATTATGTGCCCGATCACAGTTAACAGTAATTTATCCAATTATAGATGAGAAAACCCTTATATGTCTTAACTTGTTAACCTGAGAAACAATAATGTCAGTTTAGGCACTAAAATCTCCCACTATACTGTAGTTTACAATTAGAATGTGTATTACTGTCTATTGTTGATCTTGTCCTTTTAAATGCATACTACAAGCAAGAATTAGGAACATCTTTGTTTGTTCAACAAAACAAAACTTTTTTAAACTAATGTACTAATACACAGTGGAAACATAGTAATATGACAGAATAACATACACAGCCATAACATTCTGTCCACTGACAGGTGAAGTAAATATCACTGGTTACCGCTTTATCTTGGCAGCTGTCAGTGGGTGTGATATATTAGACAGCAAGTTAACATTTTGGCCTCAAAGCTGATGTGTAAGAAGCAGGAAAAATGGGCAGTGTAAGAATTGGAGCAACTTTGAGCAGGGCCGAATTGTGATAGCTAGACCACTGGGTCAGAGCATCTCCAAAACTGCAGCTCTTGTGGGGGGGTCAGTAGTGTTCAGTACCTATCAACAGTGGTCCAAGGAAGGAAAACAGTGTCAACACAACAGCTAAGGCTCATTGTTGCATGTGAGGAGGCTGAACAGTGTGGTCAGATCCAACAGACGAGGTCAGATTGCTGAGTAAGGTAATGCTGGTTCTGATAGAAAGATATCAGAACACACAGTGCATCGCAGTTTGTTGCGTAGCACAGACCAGCCAGGGTGCCCATGCTCGTGCCCATGACCCCTGTCCACCGCTGAAAGGGCCTACAATGGGCACATGAGCATCAGAGCTGGACCCCGGAGCAATGAAAGAAGGTGGTCTGGTCTGATGAATCACATTTTCTTTTGCATCACATGGATGGCTGGGTGCATCACTTACGTGGGGAACATATGGCACCAGGATTTACTATGGAAAAAAGGCAAGCCGGCAGAGGCATTGTGATGCTTTGGGCAATGTTCTGCTGGGAAACCTTGGGTCCTGCCACTCATGTGGATGTTACTTGGACACGTACCACCTACCTAAGCATTTTTGAAGACCATGTACACCCTTTCATGAAAACGGTATACCGTGATAGCAGTGGCCTCTTTCAGCAGGATAAAGTGCCCTGCCACAAAGCAAAAATGGTTCAAGAATGGTTTGAGGAACACAAGTTCAAGGTGTTGATTTGGCCTTGTCCTCCAACTTCCCCAAGTCTCAATCCAATCGAGCCTCTGTGGGATGTGCTGGAGCAACAAGTCTGATCTATGGAGGCCCCACCTTGCAAGTTGCAGGACCTACAGGATCTGCTGCTAAGGTCTTGGTACCACAGCACACCTGTAGATGTGTAGTGGAGTCCAAGCCTTGACAGGTCATGGCTGTTTTGGTAGCAAAAGGGGGACCTACACAATACTAGGCAGGTGGTCATAATGTTATGGCTGATCGGTATATGCTAATCTGCTTATTGACGAGTCCATCAAAGGTTAGTCCAGCCTGTTCAGCAACATAGCAGTGCAAATTAGACAATAAAGTGAGAAAGACTGTTACGTTCAGCAGATTTGGGACCCAAAAGCAGAATTTATACAAGGCAGTTGAAATGTGAAAAAGATGTTAATTGTAAAGGGAGTGGGGTCTGGAGATGTTGCTGGGAATGGGCAGAGGATGGCAGGCAGTGGCTGGAGCGGTGAGAACTGGCAGGGTAGTTGGTGTGGCTTGCTGGCGTTGACCAGCAGGCAGTTGTCCTGGAGCACAAGAGAGAAGGTATCATTCACAGAAAACAGTCAACAGGTAAATCACAAAACAAGAGGATTTCACAAGCAAGGTCTGACCGGTCACTGTAGCTGAGAGGCATGCGTCATCATCAGGTAACCGGAGCCAGGAGAGAGAGTGGATCAGTGCCACACCCATAACGCACACATAGACAGACAAGAGGAAAACGAAACTTAAAGACACGGACAAAGTTAGCGAAAGAGAGTGACACAGAGTGAGCACAGAAGCTTGAATTTTGTACATAAACAAAGCGGACACCAGACTTCAGAGTTGTAAGTTTCATTTCCAACATTCTTTATCTATCTTTAAAAGAAAAATGTTTTACAATACAGGCCTACGAAGATAGTTAGCTGATTCTACTGATCACTGCTACTTTCTAAACTTTACTTGTTGGTTTTGACATCGTAATGAACATAAGTTATTTGATGACATCATAATAAATGTTTACTTCCAAACACAATATTTCATTTACTGACATTTCACGGCTGTGCATGTTCAAAGTTGATTTCTGGTTTCTGGCTTGAATGAGGAAGTTCAGAGTCTAAACAGTCAGTGAGGCACTCACACACTGTCTTATCTAAAACATTAAATCATTAGAATGAGCAAATCCAAAAGAAATTACTACTCAACCTGCTGCAACGTTTCTTAATGGTGGAATGAAATAGTTTTGCATGTAGGCTATATGTCGGTACTTGACTGAGGAGTTTATGAATCACAGACTTGGTGATAAATGTCAACCAGTAGTTGTGCAGCAATGTATGTAGTCATGTAGATGGTTTCTGACCAAGTTGCTTTCAGGTTTCAATTATCTACCATGTGTACCCACCTAAATACACTGTTGATAAATGGAATTTTAGCTTCTCAAACGACTGAAAGATTAAACTTGGAAATGATAATGAACCTTTAAGCTTAAATTCTAATGATAGTTTTGCTGCTTATCTAAAGTTTAAAATGGTTTCTAAATGTTGTAACATTAATATTATAATTTTGTCTTTTTTCACAGTTAGAAATGTTAGAAATGAATATCATTACACAGATACAGGTGCCAGCCCCCCCAAGAGAAACACATCCTATAATACAGTGTATAATTGACAACAAACTCAAGAAGCTCAGAAAATTACTGAAGGACAACAACATTAATGCATTTTACCCCTGCACAGAGTGTAATGACCATATAACCCCACTGATTGCTGCTGTTGTAAATAACAACAGGGATATTTTTAAAGTCCTTTTGGAGCAGGGTGCAAATCCAAACATACCTTCTCAATGTGGCTGGACACCTTTGCATTATGTCTCACTATCCAAAGCACCACTTCTTTTTGTGGAGAAACTCCTTGAAGCAAAAGCCAGTCCAAATGGATGTAATCTACAGCGATTCACACCGCTGCAAACTGCTGCCATCAATGACAGGGATGATGTCTTGAAGCTGCTCATATCTGCTGGTGCACTGGTAACATTGTTACCTCTCACTGATCCTGAACATATTATTCACAATAATAAAATATCTGAGATGATTAATAACCTTGCATCAAAAGGAAATAAATTATGCTCCAAACTCAAACATTTTGTGGATATGGCAATTGCTGTGCCAGGGGAACCACCTGAAGAAGTGTTAAAAAAATTTGAGAGTCACATGCTGCTGGAGGATCCTCAGACCCATCTGACCATGATTGAAATCCTCTTTAATGTAACAGGGCAAAATGCAGAAAAATACCGCCAGGGAAGTATTAAATGGCTGAAAGACACTGGAAATCTGAACACCTACATTGCAGGTGCAGTCAGTCGCTTGCCAAATATTCCCCAGGAACGTGTAAATCTGGCTATTGTTAGTTTATATGCAGTTTTGTGTACTGTTGAAGAGATACCACATGAGCAAGCTTTGACTATAATCCCCCAACTCCTGGAAAAGCTTTGTTTAAAAATGAGACCTGATATATGGAAAGCAGTTCTGGAAACACTATACGTGATAACACAGAAAACAAAAGGCACAAATGGCTGGGATCCCAACTTTATTGAGAAGTTATGCAAATCAGTTGCTCCTTTTGTCCAAGAAGAACACCTTATTAACATTAGAGTCTTAACGTACGGCATATTTGGAAACTTGCTCTCATTTAAACATGCAGTTAAATTCTTTACATCAGTGGGGATAACTTCAGTGCCTGAAGAGATACTGACAACTGCAGATATGAAGATGATAAAAGATCTGAAAGAAGTCCTCAGACAGTTGAAAAAACAATTCAGCACACCAGACTTCGGATGTGGGGACAGTACGGCCTTACCTGGATCCAAAAAAAAGAAAAAAAAGAAGAAAAAGAAGGATAAATCAGAAAAGCAAGACGACCCAACAGCAGCTCCCATTGTGGAGTCAACTTCAAATGTGAAGCCATTCCACTTCAGCACCACTATCTCATCAACAACACGCAAATGGCTGCAGATCAGCAAGAGGTGGAGAGAAAAGTTAGAGAAGCTTGTTTGCACTGATGAAAGTAAAGTAACCAGAATTAGGAGCATGATTTATGTGAATGATGCAGAATTCCGCATAGCAAAGGGAAGTGATGGTACTGAAGTCTTCTTGGGGCTGAGAGATGACGGCACTGAAGTTGCTATTAAGAGAATGTCTAAATGCAACTATCAGGAGCTGAAGATTGAGGAGGGATTTCTGCGACTTCCAGAGCTTGATCATCCATCTATTGTACGATACGTTGACTTTGCAGAGGATGAGAACTTTGGATATCTTGCTCTTCAACTCTGTGAATACACGCTGGAAGAATACATCAGAAATAATGATGAAAGTCTGCTGAGAAATGAACTGATCAAACAGGTCCTCGAAAGTTTAACGGTGCTTCATTGTCAAAATCCTCCAATTCTCCACCGGGATCTTAAACCGCAGAATGTTTTGATCGGTAAGACAAATCAAAAAATATATGAAAATGATGGAATTTACAATGTTACAATGTTACAACAACATTTGAATTTATAAATATCATACATACTTTTGTAATTTTTCCTGCAGATGTTACTGGAAGGGCAAGATTAGCTGACTTCGGCATAAGCAGACGATTACTCAAAGGCCAAACAGCTTACCGCACAGGCAGCGCAGGAACAAAATGCTGGATGGCCAAGGAGACTTTAGCAGATGAAGCTGTCATACCATACAAGCCAAACACTGATGTTCAGGTCAGTTTTACTGCTACACACCATGAATGACTTGGTGAAAATACTTCCGTAATCGCTAAAATGTTCTGTTAATTCACAAGGTGGCAGGGATGCTGCTTTACTATATCCTCTCTGGAGGACACCATCCTTTCGGCGACCAGTCCTATAAATGTGAGAGCAACATTCATGAAGGGAACTACACTTTGGACCATGTTCCAGACATGGTGGCAAAGGATCTCATTGAGCGGATGATCAATAAAGAACCAAAGAAAAGACCCAAAGTGAAAGAATGCTTGAGTCATCCCTTCTTCTGGACCACTGAGAGGTGAGGATGATTGATTGATAGATTGATGAATTAAAATCCTTTTTTTTCAGTGGGTTGTGTTGAAGAATTATTGTGAGACACGTTCTGCTGTTAAGAAGTTTCGGAGACTGATGAAGACTTAACATAGCATGGTTTATTGACCCGGCCGAGGAGATACAGTGCCAGCATACAACACGTGAACACATCGAATGCCAACAGCAAATCTGCATCTTTTGGTATTTTTTTTGGTTTCTCTCTTCCCCCTAGTGTCTGTAGGTTTCTCTATTAGGTCATCTTTAACTGGCCTTAACCTGGAACAACTAATCTGTCTGATGTTTGGACTCCACTGCTTCATCATATTGGAATCTATTACTATCTATATGTTGTACTCTAATCTGTGGAGCCAGTAAGTTCTTGTAAACAATCTTGTAGGACTCAACCTTGTAAGATTCCCTGAGAACACCGATATCTGCTAGCCTGACGCCTGAGCTACTGTCTCTACCATATCAGTCTAACTGTCGTCTCCCTAACAAGGACAGTTACGTGTGAGAAATAACTAGAGCTGAAAGGTCAGTGAACACTTGTGGGCCAGCTAATGACTCTAAGCTAGATCTGTCTTACCTTTCCCTGTTACATCAATTAAGACATAAAAAGAATATTCTTTAACAGGTTGGTATTGTCAGCCATTTAGATACCCTACAACTTTGGTCCAGAGTGATATCTCTACCTTTACTGAATGAAATGGCACACAATCTGGCACAAACATTCACTTTTCCCTAGATAATGTAGCTCCTTAACTGAATTGATGTTTTTGTTTCAGAGTGAGATGTGTTCAAATCTGTTCTAAATAGCCACACTCAAAGGGAGGGCAAAGCCTGCCATTATAGCAACATCCTGGCTGTGTCCCAGTGCCTCACCGAAACCCAGTGGGTCTATTTACTAATTAGCAACAAACCGTTGCAGCTGAGTTTGGTGGGGTTTTCAAATATTTAGTCATGAACTAAAGTATTTTGATCTGATGATGGCTCCAGAGTAAAAGTTACTATTCATCCTAAGGGGGACATTATTGTCTGTATCAGACTTCATAGCAATCCATCCAATAATATAATTATTATAATAGTTATTATTATAATAGCATAATAGTGGTTGAGACATTCAATCCCACAAATGTCAATACCCTGGGAACCATGGATTTTTTGTACCAAATCTTTACAGCAACCCATCCAGGAGATATTGGGATATTTCACATTATAAGTGAAAACTTGAATTGTTGTCAAGACATTTTAATATAAGCCAAAAAAGTCAAACTGCTGGTGGCATTAAAGGTCAAGTCACAGGATTAACACAGTCAGTAGGAGTCACGTTCTAGGGATGAATGAATGTGGTTATAATGTCTGAACTAACCGTGACCCCTCAACTTGCTCATGGACTTGACGTGACGTTTAGCCCACAAAAGTCTTATGGAAATTGCTGATTGCTCTAAACAGAAATATTACATACATTACAATATGAGCTCATAGAGTTGTTGTCTAGACATATGGAGTGAACCACATTACATACTGAGTCAGGCTAAGTTCCGATGCTGGATTTTGAATTATTAGTCTTGTTAAAAATGTCAAATGCCCTGAGAGGCAAATGAGGAAAGAATTCTGGTGTCTGATCTAAAGTGTTTTCTCTCCTGTGTTTATGAGTTAAGAACAGGTGGGAAAAAATGACTTTTTTAAATCTTTGAAACAGGTTGCTAAAAAGTTTTGGCAGGTGAACATTTTTGTTTGTTTGTTGTTTGTTCACACCCCATTTTCTTAATAGGACTAAACACTTGTTTTCCCCCAGGTGAAGCACCAATTAAAATACATTTCAAAGGCATGACAGTTATGTTACATAACTAACACACAAAATATATACCTTGTGTTTAGACTGCATGGAGAAATTAAAACTCACCTGGAAGAAAACATGAATGCTTTTAGTCCTATTTAGGACATGGGATACCACAAGTCTCTTGTGACCGAAATGAGTACAGAAAAAAATATATCTAATATAAACATTTTCACCTGTTCTCACAGATGAAAATCAAAGTAACAAAGCAAAACTTCACTCCCACTTATTCCTAAGTCATAAGCACAGGAGAGAAAACTATTTAGATCAGACTTCATCAAATTTCTTTTTCTCCCTTTCCTCTGAGGGCTTCAATACAGTGAGATCTTGAAAAAGGTTTTCTCAAGCCTGAAACAGAACCTGGAAATTCCAGTTTTCTATGCCTCTTTGGCAAGGATAGAGCTGCTAAGGCTACGGAAAACTCTGATATCGTATCATCTAGGACCACCACAGCGGAGGTGACAGTCCTGAATGTGGGTTATTCTAACATAACCTGTGACCCCAAATAATATTGCAGCTAGAAGTATGCTCATTGGATTTGGATGTAATGGTAGAAGTAGGAAGCTAGTTAGCCAGGCATGCTAACTTTTGCAGCTTACGAATCAGTGTTAAATCCATTCCTTGTAGTTTTGCCGTTGTGTTTCTGAATATCAATCATGCATGTTGTTATAGCATGTTGAGAACATACCAGGCCTCGTTAACTGCTGTTGGAGGAGGGGTATGCTTCCAATCACTACGATTCTGTTTATTTTTCAATTAAAATATATCCTAAAACGAACTGTTCTTTCAGGAGAGTTGAATACTTGAGGAGGATTGGCAACAGGGAGGATGTAAAAAAGTGTCGAAATGCTGACAAGGAAGTGATTGATTCATTGGAAAAATGTGCCGGGGAAGGATTCTTCAAACAGTGGAAAAATAAGGTGAATGCAACACAGCAAATTCACCTTCTCTATTACGAATTTCTACTTCATGATTAATTACTTTTGTTTTTGCAGTTTCCACCAGAGTTGATCCAGAAGATGGATGCCAAGAACAAAGCCTACCCTGACAACACGCTGGGATTACTGCGCTTCATTCGAAACCTCCATGAGCACTAGTGAGAAGTTAAAAATGATGGGTGGATTTTAAATTTCACTAAAAGTCAATTCTTCTGAATTTATAAACAATAGAAAGAATAATTATACTTTATTTTTTTTAAATAGAGTTCTGTGGTTCAGTCTCTTTGCAAGACAAAAAATATGATAAATTTGATTCCTTCAGTCTGTCATTTAATTATTGTTAGTTTTGCAGTAGATGATACATGAGAAACAAAACTCAAAAAATAATAGTTTGTGTCAGTCATTAAATCTACTGTGAGACAGCAATCAAGTGTAATCAGGTGGTCCATTAGGAAGTTATGTAAGATTCCTGAAAGGCCGGTTTTATTTTCAGTTTCTAACGTCTTACTTTATGATCTGCGACCTGGGCTGAGTTCAGCGCAGACAAAACGTAGCCGAAGTCAGGGTTGTACGATATGTCAACAGTGACAGTAAATATGGCGAAAGGAGAGAGAGTTAAAAGAAATGTGTGGTGCCAAAAATATAAGAATTAAGAAGAAAAAAATGTTTCGGCCCCAGTACACCAGGACTCCTGGGTGAAGATTTGTAAGCTGGGTGATCATTACTTTTTGATAAAACGTTCCTTTTCGTTTGCAGTGAGGAGGATGCAGCCCAAGTTGATGTGACGACAATATTTCCTGATCTCTTTGGATGTGTTTTCAAGTTTGCCAAGACCCAAGGGTGGAATTCTGAGACACCCTTAAAGGAAATGTTTCGAAGTGAAGATGTCACTACCACCTCTGTTATGCCGTCCACAAACCTTAAGGAGCATCTGGGCGTCCCAGTACAAGAGTCTCAACCCAGTGACTTGAAGTGAAGTAGGATTCTAAAAAGACTATAGACAGAACTTCTTGCTGTGAGGGGACAGTGCTGAATCAAAAAGCAATCAGAGAAAAGCAAAATCATGTGCACTTCCAATGTAAGTCATTAACATGAACCAAAGCAAGACTCTAGCAACACTGGGCAATGAGATCAGACTAGAAATCATTATTGCTAGACTAGGAATATTACATTCAACAAGGTTTTGCACATGTGGCTGTTTGCAGACCCTAAAATTACATTTTCCTCTGCCATTATTGTTTTCTTGTATTGAATTATGTTATTGCCATTATGAGATAATCTTTTATCTTCCACTAAAAAGATATTTTTGTGAAGGGGAAAGAAATTACATGAGCTTTTTATACTCACAGAGGTACTACGATTTCAGTCCTAAAATGTCCTAAATGGGAAATTTTGAAATTTAATTTGAGCTGTATGAATCTGTAGATGTTTCTATGAATTTAATATTCCTGTGCTAATTGCTTTACACCCCGAAAGTATATGCCAAGACTTAAGAAAAATGTACCTCACTGGTTTTCTTTTATTTTCATTTAGGGCAACTGAGGGTGTAAACAGGTGAGGTTGCCACTTGTCTCATGTACTCTCACCCTGTGGTAATGTACAGTATGATGCCTTATCAGCACCGGGGTTCTTGCTCTGATGGGCCCACAGTGCCTCCCTCTGGCTGTATATAACGTATCACACCCATTTGTTTTTTCCATACAGGGAATGTTTGTCATACAATTGTCTGAACTGATTTTGGCAAATTCTTTTTAGATAAACTTAACAAACTCTAAAGTCTAAAAGTAAATCTACTCATTAAGTGAATGATATTGCAAATAAAAAAGAACATAATGACATATGCAAGCTTTACAACATGTAGATTCTTTTGTATAGTTTTCTTTTTAAGCATGTTGAATGTTACTCCAATATATATTGTATATCAGTTGAGTATCAAAATAAATGTGTAAAATTATGATTGTAAGATGTCCTTTATCTTTCATTGATCGTTAGGATTATGGCACTGGCAACATCAGCCACAGTTCATTTCATCATCATCTCTCTAAGAATCATTAATTACTTTGTTATGTGATATGTATACTCAATATTTATTGTCCTTACAAAGGACAGGGGGATCTCAGAGATTCAGCAAACACTGTATTGATTTAAGATTAAAGATGACTTTATTTGTGTATCAAATGAGTATGTTAATGTGACAGGCGTCACTCATAACCACAAACCCACATTAAATTTTCAAATGACTCAGCAGTCCCTCTCGGTTCTATGGAGTGTTTTAGCATCTTTCAGATCTCTTCATCAATTTTGTTTCCAGCTGCAGCAGGTGGATGTTTTCAGTGATAAAGCTCTAAAAAGAAACTGGGCACGGTCTCAGCACCAAACTGCAGACTCTTAACAACACAAACAATATAATATCACTACAATATAATTCAGGATGAGGATATAAAGGCCTTATTTCATAAGCTGACACATGCAAATGATTACTGTTAAAATAAACGGGTTGTGGCATCAAAAATCTACAGGTTGACTACAGGCAGCTAGACTGGCTTACCCATGAACATATCATGTGTTTGCAGTTAATAAGATGGCACCTGCCTGTTTCACTGTTTTGGCCCAAAGGCTCAACAATTCTTCAATTCTTCAGCTTTTCCCCTTTTGAAATCAGTCCCCAGTCATAATGTACCATCATAATACATATGATACTACTTTATACACTTATCTATCATCACATGTGCAGGTCTACATTACAGAAAGATATAATATGTTTTCTTCCAATAACATTTCATGCTTCAGTGTGAAGCAGGTAACTCAGCAGGTTTCATATCCACATTGACTTCCTCTTAGTAGTGTTTCTAGAACAGGAAAGGGCGTAACTTGTGTGGAGGGTGGCACAACGCCTGTACCCTAAGACACAATACTTTTGCTTGAGGCTGTGAGCGCATGGTTGTGTCTGAAGGCAAATCCACATTTTTAACAACTTAGATCTTCTCGCATTTGGACTCAACACTGGACACCCCACGTCGACACTGTAAGTTAATGTTCCTACATCGTTTACTTAAATATTGTACTGTAAAATAATCAGTGTGCTCGCTTAAGAGAAGCACACTCATTTGGACCTAATCTTATTCATAATCCACTCTCATGGTAATTTGATGTCATCATAACAAACATTTATTCATAAACACAATAAAAAATTTTTTATCTTCGTACCTGCCATGACTAAAGCATGTTTATTGACATTTGTGCACATTCAAAGTAGGTTTCCGGTGTTGCGTCAAATTGTGCCTGCCTGTGGAGAGCCCGAATGAGGAAGTTCAGATTCTCAACAGTCAGTGAGGGTTAGGATGCTGCACTCTTCTAAAAACATTAAATTATCAGAATGAGCAAATCTAGACTTTACAACCATTTGACTGTATTCTTGAAAGCAAAAGGAAAGACTATAGGTAATGCCTTTTAGACAAGCACACATGAATCAAAAATCCCCATTTAAAATAACCTTTTCAAAGAAACCATAAGTGGCAAAGCAGATAGAAGCTCTTTTTAACCATGTAGTGGAAAAAGACCTCTGTTTAGGTAATGTCAGAGAAGTTCAAATTTACACATTTAGCTGACACTTTTATCCAAAGCAACTTACAATTGCTATATATGTCAGAGGTCTCACACCTCTGGTGCAACTAGGGGTTAAGTGTCTTGCTCAGGGACATTGGTGGATGGGTCACAGTAGGGGATTGAACCCAGGTCTCTCACACCAAAGGCATAGTCCTGCACCATCACCAAGTTTGCAAGTTAATTTTACTACAATCCTCTATCATTTTCCATAAAACTGTATTGTATTCAGAGTAGGCTTCATGTGGGACAATTGGCTGAGGGGGGATGAAGGTCTTGTTGGAGCAAAACAACTGAGCACCTGTGGGAATCACACCCTTGGTAACAAAGGTCACCTCTAGTTGTACAGTAATGTAGTCATGTAGATTGTTTCTGATTGAGTTGCCCTCAAGTTAGAATCATCGACCATCTGAACCCACCTAAACACAGTGTTGGAAATTGGAATTTCAGGTTTAGGTTGTCAAATCATTGAAAAATTGGCACCAAATGTTCCTAATTTTGCCTTTTTTACAGTTACCCTGAAGCAAAGAAATGAATATCTGCAAAAAGATACAAGAGGCAGTCTCCCGAAGAAAATCACATCCTATAATACAGTATATAATTAACAACAAACTCAACAAGCTTAAAAAGGCACTGAAGGACAACAACATTAATGCATTTTACCCCTGCACAGAGTGGAATGACTATATAACCCCACTGATTGCTGCTGTTGTAAATCACAACAGGGATATTTTTCATTTCCTTTTGGAGCAGGGTGCAGACCCAAACATACCTTCTCAATCTGACTTAACACCTTTGCATTATGTCTCACTATACAAAGCACCACTTCTTTTTGTGGAGAAACTCCTTGAAGCAAAAGCCAGTCCAAATGGATGTAATCTACACCGATTCACACCGGTGCAAACTGCTGCCATCAATGACAGGGATGATGTCTTGAAGCTGCTCATATCTGCTGGTGCACTGGTAACATTGTTACCTCTCACTGATCCTGAACATATTATTTACAATAAAAAAATATCTGAGATGATTCATAACCTTGCATCAAAAGGAGATGAAATATGCTCCAAAATCAGATATTTCATGGAGTTGGAAATTGCTCTCCAAGAGAAACCACCTGAAGAAGTTTTCAAAATATTTGACAGTCACATGTTGCGGGAGCACCCTCAGACTCATCTGACCATGATTGAAATGCTCTTTGATGTAATTGTGCCGGATGCAGAAATATACCACCAGGGAAGTGTTAATTGGGTGAAGGACAATCTGAACCCCTACATTGCAAGTGCAGTTTGTCGCTTTCCAAACATCCCTGAGACAAATGTAATTAAGGCAATTAAGAGTTTATGTGCAGTTTTCCAAGCAATGGAAGACATACCAAATGAGCAAGCTTTGGCTATAATCCCAGAACTACTGGAACAGCTTTGTTCAAAAGAGAAACTTGCTTTATATCGAGTTGTTCTGGAAACACTGTCGGCAATAACACAAAAAACAAAAGGCACAGATGACTGGGATCCCATCCTTATTAAGATGTTATGTCAAAAAGTCCTTTTGTAGATATCAAGCAGTCCCATGCCATTATAAAATCCACATTAAGCATTTTAGCAAAGTTACTTTCAGTTGAACATGTGGCTGACATGTTAAAAGCACTGGAGTTAACTTCAGTACCCGAGGACATACTGACAGAGAATGACCAGCTGAAAGAAGAAGAAATCAATCAACTGAAATCCCATTTCAGCACTCCAAATGTGAAATATGACCTGTCACCTGGAAAGAAAAAGTCAGAAAAACAAGAAGACCCAACTGATGAAGTTTGCAATACTGCAACTGCAGCAGCTCCTATTGTGGAGTCAACTTCAAATGCTAATCCACACAAATGGCTGCAGATCAGCAAGAGGTGGAGGGAAAAGTTAGAGAAGCTTATTAGCTCTAGTGAAAGTAAAGTCACCAGGGTTGGAAGCCTGATTTATGTGAATAAAGAAGAATTCCGCATAGCAAAGAGAAGTGATGGTACTGAAGTCTTCTTGGGGCTGATGGGGCGGAGATGACGGCACTGAAGTTGCTATTAAGAGAATGTCTAAATGCAACTATCAAGTGCTGAAGAATGAAGAGGGATTTCTGCGACTTCCAGAGCTTGATCATCCATCTATTGTACGATACGTTGACTTTGCAGAGGATGAGAACTTTGGATATCTTGCTCTTCAACTTTGCGAATTTACGCTTGAAGAATACATAGAAATAAATTATGAAAGTCTGCTGCAAATAAACTGGTCAGACTGGTCAAACTGGTCAAACTGGTTTTGAAGAGCTTAAAGGTGCTTCATTGTGAAAATCCTCAAATTCTCCACAGGGATATTAAACCACAGAACGTTTTGATCGGTAAGACAACCTAAAAATAAAAACGTGTGCTATCTGTAATTCAAAAAACAGAATATTTTAATTACAGTTAGTTTAATGTGTGATTTTGTTGACTGAATCAATCTACACCTTTTCTCCTGCAGATGTTACCGGGAGGTTAAGATTAGCTGATTTTGGCATTAGTAGACAATTACTTCAAGGACAAACGACTTACCACACAAGAAGGGCAGGAACAAAATGCTGGATGGCCAAGGAGACTTTAGAAGGAGACGCTGACACCATACAGGTGGAGCACTGATATTCAGGTAAGTTTGCTATCTAGATATGTTCTTGAAGATTAAGTGAAAAGTCGTTCAGTAAATAAACTACTATGCTAACTTTTAAGGTGTCAGGGATGCTGATTTATTACATTCTTTCTGGAGGACACCATCCTTTTGGCAAAAAGTCCTTTGAATGTGAGTACAACATTCATAAAGGGATTTACACTTTGGACCATCTTCAAGACGTGGTCGCAAGGGATCTTGTCATGTGGATGATTCAGGAAGAACCAAAGAGCAGGCCTAAAGTGGAAGAATGCTTGAGTCATCCCTTCTTCTGGACCACTGAGAGGTACAGTCACATTTATCATGTATAATGGCTGTATGTGTTTCCCCGTGCTGTGTGTTCCTCTTTGGTCCTCTAGTTCTGCCCCAGGTGTGGTACATCTGATCACTGAATGATGTCCACCTGGCCTTGGACGTCGGTCTTTAAAAGCTCCTTGCGCCAGCATCAGAGAGGCTTTTTGAGTTGGGACTGCTAGTCCTGCTGCCTCTCAGCCGGGGATTTTGTGTTATGATTTTGTGTTTTTGTATTCTTGATTTATCGTCTTATTATGTTAATAAATCCCATGGATTTGGTTGTTGTAAAGGTGTTTATCTGTGTTGTGTGGGTCAGTGTTGGAGTTTTGTTCACCCCATGTAGCCACCAAAGGGTTGGGTGTAACACATGGCCAATTAAGTCAGAATAATTTAACTGATTTGCTATTATTTCGGTGTTATATGCTAGCATAGCGTTAACAAGACTTAAAGTCTACAGCAAGACTAGCGGCAATGTTCAGCTTTCATCTAAATGCTAACATCAACATGCCAACATGATCGCAATGACAAGGCTAACTTGATGATACTAAGCAGGAATAATTTTGACCCTGCACTTGTTATTCAGCAGTTTCTGTATTAAGTAATACAGTATATTTATATGTAATGCATTGGATTATGGGGCAGGATGTTGATTACAACATCCATACACTATCCTATCACTCATGCACACCTTACACTGCTGATACACAGGAATTTGGTCCTACAGCAAAGTATTGGACTAACTGAAAATTTCATCATCTGACTGACAGACCCGACAGGCCAACATTACCTTCTGTAGAGCCGCTAGCATGGCTTGTCAAAATCAAATGATACATTAAAAGATGTCAATGAAATGATTAACCTAAAGCCATGCCTCTCTTGTGTTCTTTTAATATTACACTTTCTTCAATTGCAGTTTTTTCCCCATCAGCAAATCCATAGCATGTCTTTATTGCCAGTTTCTATCAATATATGAAATGACAAAAAGGTTTAAGTTGTTTAAAGTTTATCAAACACGAGAGATGGAGAAAAGGTGACAACCCCTACCCCAACAACACTTTGGGATTACTGCGCTTCATGCGAAACCTCAATGAGCACTAGTGAGTTAAACTTAGTAGAATGAAGAAGAATGATGATGATGGGTCTTTATATGTCAAGAATAAACTCACCCTCATTTTCTCACTTATTTCCATCATGTGATGAAAAAAAAGATCCTGTAATGACAAACTTTCTTAAAATAATGACTTAGTGTCTTAAATGAGATTAATGAGTTTTGGTTATTTTGAGATATCATTATTTCGAGAAAGTTTTTTTTCATCACGTGGGCTTAGAAAGGAATGAAAAGTGTTCACGGTGACACCTTCATTCTGGAAAGAGACAAGATCTAGTCTTTGGAACATTAAGGATTAAGCAAGTATTTTTTTAATGGCATTTATTGAATGTGTTATCCTACTGTTTTATTGATTTCTTGATATGAGTTTAATCTTCTCTACTTACTTTACTCCTCTCTTACTTAATGTGACATACATCACACATCTCCATGTCTGCTACTTTACTTTTTTAATATTGGTTTGTTCTCTTTTTGTTGCTGCTGTTACAACGCTTATTACACAACTAGTCATAACTAGTTGAACTAGTCATAACCTATAGACATGAGAAACTGATGATAAGGGCCTGCAAATAGACATAGTTTAATTTTGAGGCGTCACAAGCTAAAAGGTTGGGAAGCACTTGCATATTGTAGATAACTTTTTTTGTACTTTTTTTGATTTTCCATTCTACGTCCATCCACAAGATGCCTTTAGACTTTGCCACTGAACAGGGGTGGCAAAGTCTGGTATTCTCAGAATATAGACCTACTACTAAGTTTCCTTGAGTAGATAAACAATAAATAAATCTGGAAAAAAAATATGATTGTAAGATGTGTTTCATCATGATGTTATGGCTATGGCATAATATCGTTCAAATATAGCTTCAGTTCAGTTCAGTTCAGTGTGCTTTATTGGCATGAATGTTTCATTTAAACAATGTTAACAAAGCAGTTTCAAAATTAAAGTTTACATTTAAGTATGATATAACAAGATTAATCCAATCAAGACCATTTAATTTAGTTATAAATTACAAAAACAAAAATAACAAATACAGATACAACGTAAACTAGAAATATATATATATATATATATATATATATATATATATATATATATAATATTATACGTGTTAATATTCTTTGTGCCATAGTCAGAATCAGAATCCGCTTTATTGCCAGGTATGTGAACACATAGGAGGAATTCGACTCAGGATTGTACATTGCTCACGATGTGCTTACTTGTACAAAAATACCACAACAAAATAATAAAATAATAGTAAAATAAAATCAGACACAAACTACAGTATAGACAACACTAACATACACACTATGAATAAAACAATATAGACATATTGACAAATAGTGCAGTTATTGCACGGGAATTGTTCCTGACAGTGTGAGTCAGAAATCAGCTGTTCATCAGAGTGAGGGCTTGTGGGAAGAAACTGCTTCTGTGTCTGTTGGTTTTGGTGTACAGTGCTCTGTAGCGCCTACCAAAGGGGAGGAGCTGGAACAGGTTGTGTCCGGGGTGATATGGATCTGCAGTGATGTTTCCTGCCCGTTTCCTGACTCTGGAAATGCATAAGTCCTGAATGGAGGGCAGGCTGGCACTGATGATTTTTTTTCTGCAGTCCTGACTATCCGTTGTAGTCTGCTCCTGTCCTTTTTGGTGGCAGATCCAAACCAGACAGTGATGGAGGTGCAGAGGACAGACTGGATGATGGCTGTGTAGAACTGGATCAGCAGGTCCTTAGGCAGGTTGAGCTTCCTGAGCTGATGCAGGAAGGACGTCCTCTGCTGGGCCTTCTTGATAATGGTGTCAGTGTTGGGCTCCCACTTCAGGTCCTGGGATATAGTGGATCCCAGAAACCTGAAGGATTCCACAGCAGACACAGGGCTGTTGAGTATGGTGATGGGGGGAAAAGAGGGGGGCACCTCCTGAAGTCCACTGGTCATCTCCACAGTTTTGAGTGTGTTAAGCTCCAGGTTGTTCTGGCTGCACCAGAGAGCCAGCTGATTAACCTCCTGTCTGTAGTCCGACTCATCACCATCCCGGATGAGGCCGATGACAGTTGTGTCGTCAGTGAACTTCAGGAGTTTTACACATGGGTCCCTTGAAGTGCAGTCGTTTGAAGCAGGGGGGAACTTCACACAGCTCCAGTGATTTGTTGAAGATCTGAGTGAAGATGGGGGACAGCTGGTCTGCGCAGATTTTCAGGCAGGATGGAGACACACTGTTGGGGCCAGGAGCGTTCCTGATCTTCAAAGTGGACATTGAGGCAAAGTGCTTTAATGTTAAAGCCATAAGAATTACAGTAAAGGTAAAAGAAAATATTTTTGATGTTATTTGTATTTCATTAAAATCTCTCGCTTATGATTCTCCAAAATATGCTCATGTCATTTTTACAGGAACAGGCTCTGTGCTTTATTGTGAAGAAAACCCTCCATTTCAGTTTTAATGTTGCTAATTCGTCTTCAGGAGCGCTCCCGTACTATTGTTATTCCCAAATAATGTTCTGCTATCCATTGTTTCATATTTAAATGCTTTATACTCAATGATAATTATTGCTCAAGACAATTTTCTCCAAAGATAATTTTATTTTCAACGTTGTACCGGAAGTCGTAGATTTATTTAAATTCTCATTCCGCGCGACTTGACAGCAGAGAAAAAAGTGACGTTGCAGGACAACAAACGGAGGAGAGGCAGCTCGGACGGAGGCAGAGCGGCAGCCTGTATCCTGGCATTTTGTTAAAGATATTTGGAACAATGCAGTCTGCCAAGAGGAGTGAGAGTGACTGGCAGGGGTTGGTCAGCGAGGTGAGTGCGGGTCGAAGACCGCGAGCAGCTGTTGCAGGGACGGGCGGGTTACAGAAGCTCCCTTGAACCATATGGAGCGAGCTGCGGTCTCTTGTCTAAATTAAACACCGGGGTAGCTGTTTAACATCACATAGGAAACTCTACTTTTTGGTCTTTTAGCTACAGAGGCTAAAGATTGATTGATAGGGTAAGCTAAGTTAGCATGCTAGTCCGTCAGGCCGACAGCATCCGTCTCCGAGCCTGTGAGGCTGGACGTGCAGCAACACTCCTGCCCACCTCCTGAACACGTGTGGTGCTGTACAGACCAGATATAACGTTAACCCACCTGTGGGGCAGCATTTAACTTAACATTGCTAGCATAAATTCATTTAAA